CTACATGTATTGACGTTTAATTGATTGTTTTAATGTATTCAAAGAAAACGTGTAAACTTCATCAGTAGCAGGAAATGTGCATTCATAAATCTGAGCAACGCATAAGTTTTCCTATTGTCCATGCTCGCAAGTTGAAACAAAGTTTTAAAGGTTAGAATTGATTAAATGATATACTTTTTACTTTGTGATTTTATAATAAATCTTTTATGAATACTTTATCTAGTGTTTTTTTAAATACCTATAGATATTATATCTGACTTCCTGTATATCCGAAATCTCGACAAGTTTCACATTATAACGCCTATATGGTTCTTTTGTGTGCACGATTTTTTTTTCAGTTAATGGATTTTCTGTTATTCATTCATAGTTACATTTGGAGAGCTGTTGTCAATGTTTCTGATGGTGATTTTAATTTCATTCAAGGCTACCCATTATCATGTTCTCCTGGAGTCAACATTTCTGATTTATTAAAACAATTATTATGGTGATTTTAAAAATATTTAGTACATGAAGTCGGTTAAAAAGTGATTATTATATTGTTTTATAAAATAGCTAAATTGATCTTACATGTAAGATCTTGGCTACGATCCAATATTATTGGGAAAAACCGACATGACCTTGCAGGTGAAAATAAAAAAAATTCTACTTTGGATTAAAAAAAAGATTTAGATCTTCAAAATTGACATAAATAGTTCTACACAATGTAGAAAGATTTGTTTTGCATCCGACCTGCGTGGCGCAATGGCTGGAACATTTACTCCTGAGTCGCGGGAAATAGTTTCCTCCCTCGGGGAACCATAAATTTGCTATTTCCCTCACGTACCCATTCCATAACTGTTTTATTATACCAAAACAATCATAGGCGATTAATTTATTTTTTACCAGATATTCCGACATTAAAAAAACACTGTAGAGGCATAATTATAAATGCACGCGATTTAAGTAATGCATCGTGTCCTAAAACAATTAAATTATTTTTAAAAAGTATTTTCACTGACATTTCGAAGAATTAACGTTGTCTTCATTTCGTAGAATTCAAGTATGATTTTGACATCGCATGTCGAAATGTTTTGACGTCATAGTTAAATTGCTAATAACATGACGTCACAGACTGTAGATTCCTTGAACACTTTGATTGATTAAAATTACTAAATATTCATGAGGGAGTAGTCCCAAGGAGTAGCTCAGATTTTCCAGGGAGTAGTCTTCAGATGAGGGCAATGGTCTCTTCTCGGGAAAATAGACAGTTTTATGGTATTAATTTTATATAATTTAATTCTGTTTGTATTCTTGTCTCTCATTGGTTGATTTCCAAAAAGGAACGCATAACATTTTGTATAATCTGGTTTGGTATGGGGACACACCCCCTTGACAACCAGCTGAATCATCTGTATCCATCAATCCCCTCATTTCCAGTCCTTCGGATTCATGAAAAATTCCAGATTTAATGAATGTACCTTTAACTTCAAACAGTTGCTCGATCTTACCTCATGTAAACAAGCATCATGGCTGCTAGATCTATGTATCAGTTTTTACCTCCCCTTGCTTCCCATCACTTCCGTTACTACGGTTGTATTATTGCGCGGTAAATTTGAACTAATAAAACAACACAATTTTACATCCCCAGTTGTTTAATTATTTTAAAATTAAATTATAAGGAATGACTCTAATTCTTGGCCAGATTATCGAGTATAATATGGTTTGGGTAATTTTACGCTTTTTTATAATCCGCTTCGCGTATTATAAAGCGTAAACTGACCCAAACCATATTATACTCGATAATCTGGCCAAGAATTAGAGTCATTCCTTAAATAATTTAATTTTGCTTGTATTCTTGCCTCTCATTGGTTGATTTCCAAAAAGGAACGCATAACATTTTGTATAATCTGGTTTGGTATGGGGACACACCCCCTTGACAACCAGCATAATCATCTGTATCCATCAATCCCCTCATTTCCAGTCCTTGGGATTTATGGAAAATTCCAGATTTAATGAATGTACCTTTAACTTCAAACAGTTGCTCGATCTTACCTCATGTAAACAAGCATCGTGGCTGCTAGATCTATATGTATCAGTTTTTACCTCCCCTCGCTTCCCATCACTTCCGTTACTACGGTTGTATTATTGCGCGGTAAATTTGAACTCATAAAAACAACACAATTTTACATCCCCAGTCCAATAATTATTTTAAAATTAAATTATAAGGAATGACTCTAATTCTTGGCCAAATTATCAGTATAATATGTTTGCAGTTTACGCTTTTTTATAATCCGCTGATTATAAAGCGTAAACTGACCCAAACCATATTATACTCGATAATTTGGCCAAGAATTAGAGTCATTCCTTAAATAGAGTAATTACAGTAGAGGTATAATAATGAACTATAGTTAACAATAGATAGTTTTCGATTGACCTAAATTTAGCAAGAGTTACTTCCCATTGGCCGCCATACTGGAGGTCCAAATGCTCATATTCCTTCATTGTTCAACCAATTTTATAAATTTTTATATTTGCGATTTTGAATTAGGAATCATTATTTTTCTGAAGTAAATAGATTTTTGGAAGCCGCCTTTATTTAAAAAAAATTATTTTATAACGATTTTCCACCAAATATTTCTGCTATATTTTCTTAAACTTGGTAAGACAAAGAGGGAAACTCACCAAGTCGACCTCCAATATGGCGGCCAACGGGAGGTAACTTTTGCTAAAATTAGGCCCATCGAAAACTATCTATAGTATTGTAACGGCCCAGTGATTTGACAGATTGGTTTTATACAGAGTTATTGAACCTGATTATTTTTGTCATTGTAGGGGAGTTGAGATGAATTTTGTTTATGGTTATAGTTACTTGAGATTGCAGGAATATGTATTAATATATGCTTTGCATGTAGTTGATAGGTAATTATTGACACGTTTACGTGTTCATGAGTTGAAATAGTTTGTGCACATGTTTTGAGTTACGTAGAAATCAGCTGATCATAGCTATACTAGTCAAGTTGTGGTATTCTTTTAGCTTGCTTCATGTGTCAGGGACTTTGATTGGTCTTCTGTGGCAGATTAACCATAGATTTATGGATGGAATCATGTTTTCTTGTAGTTAAATTTGTTTTCAGATAATTATCGGCGGTTTATTGTCTTGTTGAAAACTGGTGGATTGTTTACAAACTTGGTCGTCGTAAATTGTAGGAGGTCGAACTCCATCATAAAAGTTACGATAGTTTTCGGATTTTAGGTGTTAATTGTGTTATTTGTTGTATTAAATGGAGCATAATTTACTTATTCTAATTCAAGAATGTATTTGGTGATTGCTTTCATTCATGAAAAGTTGTCTTGTATGTAGTTATTACATTTTTCTATAGACTTTGTCGCTTTCGGGAATGTCAGGAGACATTGAACATTTTCCTTCTTTTACGTCATGTTCATGTATAAAAGAGAGAGATTCAAGGAATTTTTGCTCTTCTGCAAGGTTGATTTGTATAGAGAAGAAGTGTTTTAGGGGTAAGGAGTTAGTATGGGTTGGGCGTTTTGAATTTAGATTTTAAAATGACTTTTTAGTTTTATTTTAAGAAGAGCCAGGGTTATTTTAAGAATTTTTAGGAACTTTTGGAATATTTGTGCCTTCTTCAGGTCTAGGTTGTAACGAGCTTGACAAATAGAGAAGAAAAGCTGAGAGATTTCATGTATTAATAAATTTAGTGTAACTTAGAGAGCGCGGGTTAATAAGAAGAGGTATAGGTTTCGGGCAGTGGTGTTTTATCGGAGTTCATTGATTAAAGGGAGATAATTTAGTGTTGTGAAATAAGATTTATGGGTATTGAATTTTAAACCACTGTGCCATACTAGCCCTCCCGAGCTCAGGTTGAGCTGTGTAACGCAAGCCTTGCCACGAAAGATAAGACAACCCCTAGAGAGAGAGGATGGTCCAATAGTGGGAGAGAGTACCGCCGTCCCCGTTACAGTATGTTTTTGTTGGGGAATGGCATAATTGATCATTTTAAAATAGGAAATGTTTATAACAATTATAATGTACAGAGATATAGTTCTCAAAACCAAAAAACATTATCTTTAAATCAAGAACAAAAAAGCTATTATTTCAGTTAGACAGATATAGATACGCTAAATCAATAACAGGAAACAGTTAAACCACATGTCCTTGATTTTGTAAAAATCGTAGCCTAAACTAATAAATCGTGAATGTACAACTATTTGTAAAGAATACTGATCTGAAGAATGTGCTTTAGTTAGTATTGTTAAATTAAATATACATTTAACAAGTTATTTTTTAATTTTAAAAAAAATGGCAAGTTTTTGTAAAGCTTGTTTTTAGTTTCTAATCAAAAAAAAAATTCTGACTAACAAAACATGATTCAATGCAAATACTTCCACAAACAGAAACGTTCAGTTAAGAAGCGGATGGACAGCACTTATTTTGCGTCTAGTGTAGTAAAATTTGCTTAAATATCTTTATTATTAAAAATTTAAAGGATCATACCGATCTTCCCTTCTAACAATTGCACAACTTGACATAGAAGCAGGGATGGTTAATTTTTGGCGGAATAGCGACGAAAGAAATTTTTTTTTTAGCTTCTAAATCTCTAGGATAATTTTCATAACATTTTTAAACGATTGAAATAATTTAAAGAGTTTTCTGATTAAAATTAAATTTATGTTTAGGAAAGTTTGATAACAATTTATTGAATCAACGTTTTTTTTACTAAAAAAAAAAGTACAGTCTCTCAAGTCATCAATCATTAAACAAATTTGAATGGTGAAAAGTCCTTAAAACGGATAATAATTTTATGTGTGTTTTATGTGTATGTCATCTTTAATCTTTATGTTATCCTTTAATATTTGTGAAAGAAGAAAACTTTTCATATCGGAGATTTAGAATAATTATGTTCCTTTAAAATATCAAGAACATTAGGAATTACCGTTTTTAATTTAATTCTCTGGTTATTTTCTCTCACAAAGTACATGATATCATTGTTTTGTGCTAAATAATGAAAAAATTAATATTTTTCAACAGAGGTAAGTATTGCATGATTGGATTAGTATTTTTCTTTCCTTATATATTGTATAGCAAAAAGTAAAAGATCTTGTGCTGACCTTTTCGTAGAATAAGCCTGGCAATTTTAATTAAAATGATACTATTATTTGGTTACATTGTCTCCTTAAATCTGAAAATTTCATTAATTTTTACACCAATAATTTCGAGAAGAATCCATCATTAAAAAACTCTACAGCTGTCTTTTCACGACTTTTGAGATAAATAAAGCCTTGTAAATAAAGATTCTGACAAGTTTTATTCTTTGTATCGTTGCAGGCTATGAGGTCACATCCTTCTCCTTGATCTCCAATGGTTCACCTTACCATCTAAAACCTGGAACCAACCTTCAACTTGAGTTTAATTTCAACACTGCATCGTCAAATACGTCATCAAATTCCACGATGGTCATCTTTAGTGCAAAAATTCTGTCTAACGTCACAATTGATACTTCTACGGCAGTTATTAACAACAACACAAATATCATAACGTTCACATTAACATCAGCAATGTTCAATGGAATGAGTTTTGGAGATTATAATTGCAGATTTTGCCTCTATACATCCTCAGCTGACAAGAAACACATAACTATACCAGTGTCATACGAAGAGCCAATTGCAAATTTTAAGGTTTGTCATAATCTTAAACAAGAACGTTTAGTTGAAAATGACGAATAAGAGAGATGAAAAGCAATTTTAATTGAACAAAGAGAGAAAAATGCAATCTTACTGAAGAATGGCTTGTATGATATTTTATTAAATAAATATATATATTGTAGATTACTTGTAATAATTTCCAAAAGTTTGGGGTAGCAGCAGCTATAACGATTGGATTGAATTCAGGCTCGAACATAAACATGGTATGGTACGCGAATGGTGTCCAAAAAGATACCATTACAGATGATGGAAATGGTACACGTCAAATTCAACATTCTCTTGCATTATCTCAAACCGGACAAGTAAACATCTCGGTCACTGCCTCCAACACTGTGTCAACGGTAGTTGATTCGGCAATAGTGAACAACTATTATGAAATCAATGGATTCTCCGTCACCTCAACACCAGGAACACCAAGCAGTGACGCCATTGTATACGTAAATGTTGATCAAGGAGTCCTTATTCCACAGGGTTCACTTTCACTGAACATTTCGTACGGTGATGGAACGTTTGACATACGTAATGATAATTCATCATCACCTTCCAACTTAGTTCTTTATCATCGATATTCCTCCATTGGATCATATGTTGTGTCCGTGAAAATTGCCTCTCCTGTAGACTCTAAAACCTATACTAAATCTGTTGGAGTTTATAACCCAATATCTTCAATCCAGGTGAGATTTCTATTGTATTATCTTCAGACTGATATCAGAAATTCCATACATTTAACTATTTATTATAAAATGACCATTTTTACAGGTTGATTGTTCGCCGTACCAGAAAATAGGAATGGCTGTAACATTCAACATCACGATACCGTCCGGGTCTAATATAACGCTAAAGTGGTATTTGAACAATGTTTTCAGTTTTCAAACAATCTATGAAAGTCATGGGTCTTACGTTGAAAATCGTATAATAAATAAAGAAGGAACTGTCCATGTGGCCACTGTGGCGTCAAATGCCGTTTCACAGGCAAACCACAGTCTAACGTTTATTAATATTCATGGAATCAATGGAATTACTTTGTCTGGGGATGAAACTGTCCTACAAAAAGATGCATTAGTAACTCTTAAGCTGACAAATGCAGCTTTGCTACCACAGGGTCCAATATCAATTAAATTAAATTTTGGTGATTCATCCCCATTGCAAATAAAGAATTTTTCTTGGGTAAATGAAAGTTCAATATGGTCAGAAGTAAATTTTACCCATCAGTACAGTGCAGAAATGAACTATACAGTTCAAGCACATTTGGCGTCACCCGTTGACACACAGACGTTCAGTTCAATGGTGCAAGTAATGGAACCAATAACAAACATACAGGTAAGTAGATGTTACATACAAATTTGGCCATGTATTTTTCTAAAATATGGAAGTGACCTGAACATATTCAAATTTCATCCTTTCTTAATCAGAGAAATTCCATGCAGTGAGAATACAATTATTCTTTTTTCATTTAACCACTTGAATGCTAATTTTGACTTCATAAATTTGCATTTTCCCGTATTGTCTTAAAAAGTTGCAGAAGGTATCAGTTTTCAATGGAATTTTCCTTCAGATAATAATGAGCGCACACATTGCTCACAATGATTATGAGAAATATGATTTTTAAAGGATATTACACAACAAATCTGAAAAAAATCAAAGTGGGCAATGGTTGCAGACACTGTTTTCTTAAGTGAAAAAACCTCTGGATTAAGTCATTTTGAGGCTTTTCATGTATTCCTTTATGTCATATTCTTTCATGGTTTATCACCTTCATATACTCAACTTAAAAATAAGCTAATTTCATAAATTTATGAACACATTTGAAAATATTAATTTTTAAGGCCACAATAAAGCCCAAACTGTACCCTTTTCTTTACTTAAAATTAAATAACCGGTTAGTTTGATATATTTGTTTTTAAAATATTGTATGTTGTGATCATAATGGAATTATTTACAAATATACATTAACTTTTACTTTTTCTCTTACTTTTGACTGCCTTAATGCTGATACGTTGAAATAATTATCATAAAATGATCTATTTGACGAAAAAAACGGAATACTTGTAAAAACTTTTTTATTAAACTTTATACAGATATCATGCTCCAAATACCAGAAGTACGGAATTCCAATTCCAGTCACTGTCAACCTGACAAATGGCTACAACGTAAAAATTAAATGGGTGGTAAATGATGATACAGAAGCTTTAACCACCACGTTTCATGCTGGAAAAGGAATTAGGACTTTTACAGTAGATCTAAGTCCAACTCGCTCCGGTCATTTAAATCTTACCGCACTTGCCTCAAATGCCGTTTCCGAGTCGTCAAGTTCTGTTCTCTTCTCCCACTTGTTTGCCATCAATGGATTTACTCTTACATGTCACCCATCTACTCTTGACAAAGATGCAAGTATAATAATAAAAAGAGCCAAAACGGCGGGTCTCCCACAAGGAAAAATTTTAATTTCTGTACAATATGGAGATGGGAACTCAACATTTCAAGAATTTTATGCTGGTTTTGATGCTTTCTTGAATCCTGGATATGACTTTTCCCATCGGTATTTAACAGAAGGACAATACAATGTGATAGTTAATATTACATCTTATGTCGACTTCAAGTCTCTGTCCTCCACAGTCGACATTATTGAACCTATCCAGAACATTTCGGTAAGAGTTTGGTAGATATGTTTTATCTAATTAGATGTAATAAAATTATTTAAAACCAAAAGCAAAAAGCTGTTAAAAACAACCCCGTAGATTGATTGATTATCCATTTCAAATATTTAATTACAACGCATGTGTGTCTCTAGCTCATATTGTAGATGGAGTTTTGTCAATTGTCATGAATCTACACAGTATCAAGGTTTTAATTATTCGAGGGTCATTCAATAAATAATGCAATATCGGTATATCATCTAAAAATTAGAAAAGTACATACCCTTAATAGTTTCAATCCCTCAAGGTATGTCTTAGTCTTAGATCTCTGTATCCATGACCAGAAAACCTTAGCATACTCATCTTTAGGGATGCCCAAAGATACTGATGAATATCGTTTCCCATGACATATCTGACATTGTACAATCTTCCTTTGAGTGTTTTTATGTTTTGGGAATAAAAAGATGTCACAATGGTTGAGATCTAGCTAATATGGGTGATATAAAAGTTCTGTTTACTTTCTTTTCTTCAGAATGTAGTTAATTTCTCAATCTTATATACAGCTGTGTTTTAAGGAACAGGGAAAATATCCAGGTCGTCGATATTTAGTCTTCCTTGCAGAAAATCTGTTTAGCTTTCCTAAGTGCAATTTGAACATAATCAATGCTAGTCGTTAATTTGAATGCATGGACATGTTTTAATGACCCTCTTTAAATACGCAAAATCCAATAAAACATGTTTGGAGCCCTTAGTCTCTTTATCATAATTGACACCTTTTTCTTTAATTCTACATTTTTTATTATTAATCGGCTATAAAAATTGCACCCATATTTATTCATTTATCAAACAAGTTTATCGAATCTTCTATTTCAGTATTTGTTAAAAATTAACCAAAGGAACATTTAAAACAAGTTTTTTTTATTTTTAAGAAAATAGAGCACCTATTTTTAAATTTTTCTTTGTCAGAATTCTACAAAATGCTTTGACGATTTAGTGTTAAGAATTTTATTTTTTCCCATGTAAATCTAATATTTTCAGATACATGTATCATGTGGCACATAACATCGGTTTTTGGAGTTCCCATATATTCAATCGACCAGATTGACTGTTATTTTTAAACTCTTCTTTTTCTCATCTGAATTATTGAATCCATCTGAAAGGTATATAGGCATAAAAGTCATTTTTCTATCTATAAAAATCATATCTTAAATAAAAAATCTTCGGTGATTTGTTTTAAAAACACAGTTTTCACATACGCTAATATTTCCATCTTCTTGGCAGAGATCATTTATAAACAGTTTTCAGTTAAGTGTAGTGCCCATGCTTAATTTATATTTCTTTGCGACGATAAAAGGAAAATACATGGGGTTTTCTGTATTTAGGAGCTCTGTAACAGAACTTTTCACTGTGAAAAAAATCAAATCAAATACCTCAACATTTTTTATGAATACTGTATTTGCATTACTTATTGAACGACCCTCGTATTATGATATTAATTATGATAATGAAAGAAAACTTTTAAAGAATATTTATATAAAGTCAATGTCAATAAGACTATTGATATTAAAAAACAGATTTTTTTTTTACATTATTTGTAGTTGAACAATGAAAATATTGTTTTCATTTTTGGATCTTTTAGTAAAAAATAGCTAATGGTTATCTAAACATGATAACGAAAGAAAACTTTTAAAAATATTTATATCAAGTCAATGTCGATTAGACTATAGATAAAAAAAAACACAGATTTTTTTACATTATTTATAGATGAACAATGAAAATATTGTTTTCATTTTTGGATCTTTTAGTAAAAAATATTTAATGGTTATTTAACAATGTTTCGCTAAATTTCGATACTCTCTTTCATGAATGACAAATATTTTTATAATTGCTTTGTTGTTGTTTTATTTTGCTATATTGTTGGACCAAATAAATTAATAGATTAATTGTTTATACAACATTTGTTAATCTTCTGACAAAACTTCATCAAATGCTTAATTTTTCCCAACCATATTTCCCTTTGTTGTGTTACCCGAGTATTGTGGTTTTCTCATGTCCATGTTATCTTGTTATACATCTCAATAAGTGAGATTACGTTGATAATTTTTGTAGTTTTACCATTGTCTTCTTTGTATCTTGTCTTTAAAAAATATGCAAAAAAAAGTTTTTCATAGAGAGATTTTTATACTAAAAAAGGTACAGCTATCAAATTACAAAAAGACAATATTTTCATGATGAAATCCAACAAATGTCAATGGTATATTTAAAAATTCTCTTTGCATATTTTAAAGCCTGTTATCTTCTGATTAATAAGTATTCTTTAAACAATATATTTTTGTAATTTTAGATTTCCATAGAAGTGAATTATTTAGGTGTGGAACCCCTTATATTGATGTTATAAATATGTTAGTTGTATATTGATGCCTCTTTATAGGTGTTGTCTTCTTCTGAATACTACATAGTTGGACAAAGCGTCATGTTTAATTTAACAATAAACTACGGTTTTGATGTTAAGACCAAGTGGTACGTCAATGGAAAATATAAATATTCACGAACTCATGCAGGAAAGGGCCGCCGAGAAATTTTTGAAAGTTATCGACCTAGCGAATCAGGGAAACTCAAAATTTCGATCAATGCTAGTAATCCGGTTTCTTTTTTCGTGACTTCATTAGTAATCTATAATTATTATGAACTCAAAGGTTATAGTATTTCTTGTGCACCTGGAACAATCTACGAAGACGTTAAAATTATTCTGAGTTTAGCTTCTGGAAGTCGATTACCACAAGGCCTGATAACATTCGAAATCCAGTACGGAGATGGTCTTTCAGCTACCGGAACTTTTTCCTCTACAGATCGGGTTTTGAAGAATTCTGGGAAACTGTTTCCTAAAAGATATCTCCGTGAAGCATTTTATATAATATCTGTTACGCTTTCGTCCCCGGTAGATACCATCAATTTGACTTCAGAAGTCAAAATCGTTGAACCAATTCAGAACATTGCAGTAAGTTATAAAATGCTGAATTTGAAATATATGTTTTATTTTGATATCAAATCATTAACTTTTTTATCAATTCAAAGTAAACATCAAATTTGTTAATTAAAATAAAATGTAAAAGCTTTTATTGGAATAAGTTAAACTGCTTCCTCGTTTGCATTGATTTGACTATTATAATATGAAATTAATGATCAATGAACAATAATTAACGAAGAATAACCTTATAAGTTGCGTTAAGTAGTGACAACATTAATTCAAATGTTACTTTAATTTTTTGTTTTAGTTTTGGACCAAACTCTATCATGAGATTGGCGAGGAGCTTGTTATTTACGCAAATTTAACCAAAGGCTACAACACAACAACAACATGGCAGATAGGAACAACTTTATCACACGTAATACTCCATGAGGGAACGGGAGATCGATATTTTAACTTCACAAAAATGGTTTCTGAAAAGGGTGCCATAGACATAACAGTGACGGCAACCAATCTAGTGTCAGAAATGAGCTATACATATAAGACGTACTATTATCATAAAATAAATAACATACATCTGACTTCCACTGTATCTTCTACGGTTAAGGATGCAAAACTGTACTTTGAAACGCTTCCACAAGCTAAGGTACCACAAGGAAATATTGATGTAATGATTGATTTTGGTGATGGAACCACAAACACTACAGATTTTGCTCTGCTTTCAAAAACTTTAAAAAACCTTAATCACCTCATCACTCACCTGTATGAACATGTTGGAAATTACACTGTAACTGCATCCCTGACCTCTCCACTGGGCATTGACAACATTACTGCTGAAGTTGAAGTTATAGAGCCAATTTTTGAAATTGAAGTAAGATCCCTTTCTGTGCAAAATCTAAATGGTGTAGCTAATGCGAGATTATTCTATAATGATTATTTACTGTATATAAATTACTTGACCATAATTTATAAATTGTAATAAGTGCTAACTTTTTTGTTGTCAGTTTGAATGTGAAAGATATTTAGAGATCGGGCAGGAGCTGATCATATCTGCAACATTATTTGGAGGGATGCGAGCAGTCACAGAATGGTCTATTGGAACAGCAACGCCTATCCAGATCTTCCATGATGGAAACGGAACGAGAACTTTTGATGTTCGTTACAATGTCACAGATATTGGTTCTATAACGGTTACTGTTAATGCAGTAAATGATGTGTCACAAGCAACAAACAGTACAACAGTGTTTTATCTTTATCCCTTAAATGGATTTAATGTATCTCATGGAATTCATTCAACTTTGGAAGAAGCCGAAATAAAATTAACTTTGTGGGAGTATGCTGACTTGCCCATGGGATTAATAACTGTAATCACAGACTTTGGTGATGGTCAGAAAAACATCACTGTGATAAATGGAAGTGATTCCTCTTTTAGTGCAACGGGTCTTCTTCTAAGACACAGTTACACAGAAGCTCTAAACTTTTCTGTGGTTGTAACACTTATTTCGGAAATTAATTCCATCAATTTAACGTCAGAAGTAAAGATTCTTGAACCAATCTATGGAATAGAGGTAAGAATTATTCACAATATCGATACAAATTGGAATAACTATTAATTCCCTTATAAATGTACATTAAATTATCCATTATTTTATGTAGTTTATGTGCCCGAAGTATGTCGAAGTGAGCAAAGAGATAGTAATCAAAGCAACCCTTTTTGGAGGACATGAGGTTACAACACAATGGTTCTTTGGAAACAGATCAAAAGTAGAAGAATATCACTTTGGAAACGGAACAAGAGAATTTATTATCACTCATAATGTCTCGGGAAGTGGAGAGGTTAACATCACAGTTCAGGCGCTAAGTCCTGTTTCAGTCAAATATAATTCAACAGTTGTGTTCTACTATTATGGTGTCAACGGATTTCTAATAAGTGATCCAGAAACAGCTTCAAATTACAATAAAACTGATGTTAGTTTATGGCTAGATTCTGACGCTCTGAAACCTATGGGTGATATAAGCATCTCTTTAATGTTTGGAGATGGTAATGTAACAAAAATTGAAATGGATTCAAACAATAGAAGTCTGGAGGAACCTGGGTTGGTATTCTCTCATATGTATCAGATGTTTGGTGATTATATAATAACAGCACAGATCACATCACACATCAACTCTGTAAACTACTCAACAGGCGTGGAACTCTTGGAGCCAGCAGAAGGAATTGAGGTTAGATAAAAAATCAGTTTTAGTATTAAAGTGATACATGTATTATTAAATTATATGAATTGATGAACAGTTATGACTTCTTACAAAAACAAACAGAGCACGGCATTTATTTATGATAATGTTTGGTTTTTCTTTCAAAGTATTTTGCTCCCTTTTTCATAGTAATAGGTTAGGGCTGAAACGATACGCCGCCTCCACGATACGATACGTATTGCAATACTTGTGTCACAATTCAATTTTTTCAATACGATACAATTGAAGAAAGAAACTATTCCTAAGTTTGAAGAAAACGTATTCAGATTTTAAAAAAAAGTAAAAGGTGGTGATACAATAGAGAAATACTACCAGGGGTATGCAATATAAATATTCAAGTACTAGCCCACGGGCTAGTGACAGCAATAAAGTTACTAGCCCTAAGTAAAAAGTTACTTAACCCAAATATGGGACAGAAATTTACAAAAAATAATGTTAAAAAATATTAATCATTGGTTCAAAAATGATGTTACTACGGTTCTTCTTTTTAGAATTAAAGTTTAATTCTCACTATTAAAATTAAATCATATAAAATTAATGTTTATGAAAGAAAATAAAAATGAATTTAAAAAAAATTATCTGATCTTTCCTTTTCTGATCATTTTGCACTAGCTCATTTAGAATGCAATTAAATTTATTTTGTTTTCATATTATTAATATGAAAACAAAATGAATTTAATTGCATTCTAAATGAGCTAATTATTAAAAACACTAGAAATATATTTAATGTGAATCACAAGACACTCACCTTTCAGTTGATTGGGTGATCGTAAATAATTTAAAGAGATATATGCATGTATTTACAATAAACAGAGGAGTGGAGGAAATTCAGATTAGGAAAGAACGGTCGTTTTTAGAAGTAAATAAGTCAGGTAGTACTGCAACATGGAGAAAAATGTTGAGATTTATTGACAGTAGGAGCATGCTGCCTGGCAAATATTCACTGGTTGGGAATTTGATAGCAAAAAAAAAAGTGAAATTGAAAATACTGGTTGTGCCTTTCATTTATCACATGCGTAGTTATCATTTTTACTAGCCCGAATTTACTACTTTGTAAATTGCACATCTCTGACTATTTGTGGTTCCGTTGATTATGAACACTTTATTCGTATCAAATCAATAATAGCAGTGACAGCCTGCTCTGAAACTTTACCGTCCCAAATTTCTCCCTCGTGTGTGTCAAACTATAAAAATAAGGTCGAACCCGATCTACTTTAAAGAGTTAACCAAACCCGATTATAAAAAACGTATCGAACCGAAAATCGAGGTGGTGAATCGAATATTGAACCGAGCAATTATATCGAACAATATCGATATTTCGGTGAATCGTTTCAGCCCTATAATAGGTAAACTTTACTATAAATATAGTGTTAAATTAATTCACTGAAATGTTGTCCTTGAATTACAGATTGAGTGTCAATTATTCAATGTGGTTGGAAATACATTAGCAGTTTCGGTAAAATTAAAAAACGGAACAAAACTCCAGGTTGTGTGGGACTTCGGTGGCAATGTAACTGCAATTCAAAATACAAGCGGCTCAGGAATTAGGTCATATCATTTTGACCAGTCTGTTCAAAGCACTGGAGAAATAAATGTTACAGTAGAAGCCAGCAACACCGTATCCTCTGTTCGAAACTGGACAATAATTTACTATTACTTTGAGGTTAATGGATTTTATTTTGATAAAAATAGTACAGTACAGACAAATGAAATTGCTTCAATTTTTTTCAAAATATCAAAAAATGCCCACCAGCCGCAAGGAATAGTGGATGTATATTTATCTTTTGGAGATGGAAATTCAACATCATTTAATGTTTCTTCTGAAGATTCCCTCTTGGTGTCTGATGGAATGTATTTTGAACATATTTACCCCATTCAAGGCGTATATCAAATTATGGCAAACATTACGTCTCATGTCGGCTGGAATATTGTATCTACCGATATTAAAATTTGGGATAAAATTGATGTGGAGCTTAATTCTACGAAAATCGCTCAAGTTGGAGAGTTCATTCATTTTGATTTTGTAAATGTGCCAAATTCCAACTTTAGATATTTTATCGAGTATGGTGATGGGAATATAAGAAAAAACGTGGACGATGATTTATACCGCAAGTACGACTTTGGAAACTGGACAAAAGCTTACAATTACTCTTCCCTGTTTACTGTAACATTAAAAGCATGGAATCCTTTGTATGAAAAGACTTCGACGTATCAAATATTAGTTGAACATCCCTTGATAACAGATATTATGACATTATCCCCTGAAAATGACACGATACCTATACCAGACGGTTTGATGTCATTCACTTTGAATGTATCGGAACTCTCTTCTGAACCATCTAATGTAATATGTACCTTTGACTATGGCACTGGTGAACAAAAACATAGTAATGTTACTGTACACGTAAGGTATAGCAAACCATTAATAAGAGAGTACGTGTTTCAGAAACATGGATTAAAGAATGTTACATTTTACTGCCATAATTCTGTAAGCTCAATTTTCAGATCGTCCATCGTAAACGTTTTGAAGTACGACTTACAGGATATCAAAATCTTTTATAAAAGTCCAGTTAATATGAACATGACATTAGTACAACGAACTCCATCTCCTGAGAATCGCCATCCATATGAACCTATTTCTATTCCAGTGAATGTATTGTTTTCCTTTTATTTCCTCGGTTGTTCAAGACTTCCATTCAACTTAGAAATGATCTGGGATTTTGATGACAATACTCCTTCTAAAAGTGTAAAATCCACCAAACTTTACTATTCCCATACCTTTGAACATCGGGGCATTTTCAAAATAACTTTAAAAATAATAGATAACAACACAAACACTTTTGATTTAAGAAATCTTGATTTGCAAACAGGAACTTTAGATTTCAGTGTTAGTCCTGATAAAGGGGACTTGCGTTATACTGTTTTCAATTTGACTGCAGCAGGTCTTCTTGGCGAAAATTCTAAGTATACGTTTTATGCTGATACAACTGATGTCAGTCAAGAAAATTTCTTTGTTTTTAACAATGTGACGGATGAAACTGCAGCATGGGCTCATGTAAAGTACTTAACATATGGATATTTCATACCAAGAGTTACAGGCTCCAATGAAAGTCTTGTGGAAACTGTTTACTGGAACGCTCCTATTATTGCAGATTTAAGCATTGAGACCAATTTGACATTACATGTTCCTGATATCGTACCTCTTCCCCCGGGTACTGTAGAATACAGAATAAGTATTCCTGCTGGAACGTACGGGTATAGACCGTACGTGTTTTGCACAATAATAGCCGGGGACGAAGTTGACCGAAGTCAACAAAGTCAAATGTTTAATATAACCTCGTTAGATCCACTTATATTCAGGTATACTTATATTGCTATTGGTTACCCAGAGTTGAACATTAACTGCGAAAACTCCATATCCACCAGGAACTGGAAGAAACGTGTGACAGTAAGTAATCTGTGTTTTGAAGTGAAAGGAATTTTTGACCGACAATATTCGATGATAGAATGGCCGATGCCGGTGTGGACGTCTGCAAACTTGTCCATATCAAATAGAATGGGAATATCAGCGAACCCTGATTGTGTTACAGGACAACCAGTTTTTAAATGGGAAGTGCATAGAGTCAACGAATCTGGAGTCATCGACATAAATTCTTACAGTCTTTATGAAAAATCCAATAATGGCATACTATTTATAGAGGCTGGAAAGTTGGAGCCTGGTTTATACTATTTGAATTTAACTGTTAACATCACAAAAACATTCATATTCGAATATATGTATATTCGTTTTTTGAAACCGGAACCTTTTGCCTATATAATTGGTGGTAGTAAAACAACCATTCGACCTACGAGTTTTGTTCTTTTAGATGCATTAGAAAAATCCCACATTGCAAACAGTGGGTATGGGAACACAAATGGACTGAACTTCAGCTGGAAATGCGAAGAGTGAGTTAATTTTGTTTAAAGAAGAAATGTTTCAAGATTTTTTTTTATTTCAGGTGCACTGACCATAGATAATAAACATGAAAATCAATACACAATGTAAATGAATCAATACTTAACATACAAATCATTTAATTTCGAAATTTTGATTAACTCAGTATCGTTACATGATTAATATCTTATAATGATTAATAATTTTTTTGCCTGTTTTAGAAATAACGCAGTTACAGCTCAAGTTGTGCAAAGCGATGATGTGTATAATGGAACTACAAGTATTGCACCGTACCTTTCAAGTGTCTGTCCGTTAAACGATTACTCACGTGGTATAGCCAAATTATCAATAGACGGATATGTTGACGCAGAATTTGCTGTCACCGTTACGGTGTTTGAGAACTCCAGTCACGATGAATTCACACAGATAATATCAGTCAATAGCACTTCCCCAGAACTGGCGATAAAGTATGTATCGTGCAGTAAAGTAAAAATACAGTTGAATTATCATTGATTTATGACAACTTTATTTTGTGTGGGTTTTTTTACAGCTGTACTTTGAACTGTGGTCAAAAGGTTACTGTAACTACTAAAGTATCATTTTTGGCATGGTGTAAAAGCTGCGAATACGAAAATACAACATTGAGCTATAATTGGACACTTTTGATGAAAACAAAATCAACACATCCTTATGAATTGGTTGAAGGATTTTCGAAAAACACAACTACAGGTGTAAATTTGTTTTCTTAAATTACCAATTGTACAAAATATTTGTTTAATTTTGTGTTTGCATAATTTTGATTTCAATATAACTGGTTTATTATGTTAAACAAGTATCTAGCAAACGTATTATAGTGACGTTTTTATTTATTTCGGGGGGTAAAATGTTACGGATATAACGAGCTTAGATAGAGCAGTTTTACGTATCAAGCGAACTTTGTATATGCCCTTTAATTGTTACAAGTAACGAGAAAGAGTGATAAGAAATGAATAAAGTAGAAAAATGATGAAATTATTAGGCCTATAGAAATATCTAATATCTGAGGACGCTTTATTTGTTTGCAGACTTTTCATATTATACTTTTTTATATCCCTCCAATGTTTTTTTTTTATTTTCTGAATATCTTTGCAGGTATAAATATTCAGGCATTAGCAATTTCCCCAGGATTCTTGGTCCCAGGTATGCTGTATCGGCTGACCTTGAATGCTTGTTATTTGGATGGAGAAGGAGAAGCAGAAGTTTTCGCCGAGTTTGCAACAAACTTTCCACCGTACGGTGGATTCTGCAATTTCAGTACAGAGATACGTTAGTACTTCAAATACTGATAAGTTAATACATGTACTACAATAATTGGCATTTGGATGTTAAAAACGCCCCCTTTAACCTCCATTTCCACTAATCCTATGCTGAAATAAAAATATTTTTTTTTAGGATGAAATGTTTCATGATTGAAAAATCCTTCCATTTTTTCTTATTTTAAAGAGGAAGCAGTCTTTCTGAGTGTTTTCTGCATGGATTGGGCAGATGAGGGATTTGCAAAAGACCAAAATTATAGTCGAGACCTACAGGCAAGGATCCCTCTTATATATCAATATGAAACAAGGACAATGCGTAGTATGTCACAAGGAGTAGAGGATGTCATCAACATAATTTATAGGGGAAGTGAGTATCCATATTAACTGATTCAATAATATCATTTATATTTAAAAAAATTACAGTGATTGGAGGCTCAACATTTTTGTAAGTGCACGAGTTAGATAATTTGATATATGGGGATACTGTGAAAAAATGAATGAAGTATAACTGAGAAAAGGAGAAATAAGATGCATCGACAATATTATTCCTGAAGTAAGTAATGCCTAAGCATCTGCTACCACCATTTTCCTGGGGTTAGAGGGTAGCAAAAGTAGCAGGAACTTATTTCTTGCAACGTATAGATGTGAAAATCCTGCAAAGTTGTATTATTTATCTATATTCACAAAAATTGTATATCGAGGACCTTAAATTACTTTTGTTTTTAAGGCGAAAGTTCAATAAACAAGGAGTATATACAGGCTGGTGATGACAGTTTTAATCATATTGTGCACTTTGTTGTGAAAATCTGTGATTTGTATGGAGACTTCACAGAGGTCCAATCAGACGGATTTGAGGTAATCTTAATCATTTAAATTCTGATTATTAAATGTTTAGTTCCTGTTTGGTTTTGAGATGTGAAAATCCTGCAAAGTTGTTTTATTTATCTATATTCATAAAATGTAGATTTTTAACCAATATGGAAAAATACAAATGATTTGATTGACTTTTATATTGTTTTTAAATTGATTTTTTTGCTGTTAATAATTTTTGTCTTTGACCTAATTAACAAATATTTTGATAGACTGTTGATATTCTTTATGTAAAAATTAGTATTGTAACTTATTTTGGTTTTATTTAACATTTAGGTACCTTCACCGAGTGGAGCACAACCTCGTAAAGAAAATGAACTTTCAATAGTTAGAAACTTGCGTAATGAATCCTTGACGAAGTACAATGAGCGAAAACTGAGTGGAAATGAAATGTCTGCAATACGTCTGCTTGGGTCTACCGCATCAGCCTTTAAAAATTTCTCAAATGTAAATATTGCTTTATTGAAATGTTAATGGAAGGAACCTATTCTTTGATATCTCTGTCGTTGTAATAATAATTGTACGAATATTTTGGAAACAAGAATACTTCCACTTTTTAAGATTTATTCAGATGATCCTTGCTACTGTGAAGTAACTAATTTTAAATTTCATAATTATGTTTTACTACTGAACATTATCTATCCACGAAGTAAAATCCTCACAAACCAATATTTTTTCAAAAAATGACCCCACGAAAATACGTGATTTTACAGTATTTCTTCTTGTACGTTGTCGTGCGGTCTTTGAAAACCTTTGAAGATTTTGATTTCTCAAAAATGAGCCTGGTTGATCCACAGATCAGTTTGGCTGTATAGTATCCATAGTTAACGAGAAATGAAAATGCAAAGATAGAGACTCAGTTCCCCAGATAATTTTAGTGGTTGGGCTAAAACTTCAATTTTTTTTTTCAAAATTAGCCAGAATGGTACGGCAAAGAGGTATGAACTCTCTGAAATCAATTTTGATTTTGAATTTTTGACATCGTTGATTTACAATGTATATATTGAGAATGCATTCAATCTAAGAAAATATTTTATACCCCGGACATTTAAGAAGCAAATTTCAGTATGCTAATGATTCATAGAGTCATTTAGGTCCAGTGTTTTATAGGTGGATTTAGCTTAGTTCTTCCTCGTTAGTTAAAAACTCAGATAACTTAAAGTGCCTGAGAGCTTCTCATCTTTCTTTTAGTTTAGGATATTTTAAAATATAGATCATTTTTTGTACACCTATAGGTGGATAACACAACAACTGAACACCAGATAATGACAGGCGTCGTGCAAAAAGCCCATATTGACAACGTCGAAATAGAAATTGTGAAGTTATACCAAAATGTAATAGAAAGATAAGAATGTACTTTACTATATCATTTAACCAAGATCATAACACTGCTTCCATGTTGTTTTAGAAACAAAACATTTTATTCAATATATCAGAATCTAATGATCAAGATCTTCCAGTTTAAAATTTATCAATTTTACGAATGAGGTACTATATAGAAATGTAGCTTAACTATTTGAATTCTTCATTTTCTGATGACTTCTTTTTCTCTTTGTTGTACTTTAAAATTTCATGCAGGTGATCGATGAAGTCAGCTGATTAAAATCAAATCTTCACAAGCTACTTATTTCGATTGTCACGTGAAATAAAAAAAAGAGCCAGTGAAAGCTTGATTTTAATCAGACTGGGCGATGATGTTACTTATGATTTTTACTTCCGTTATTTTTGATAGTTTATAGCTGAAATGTTGTATTTATTGCGGTTCGACCTTCACGTGCACTGCAGTTCTAATCAACACAGATATAGTTTGGCTGACTTGCAGCAGATATTGTCCACTGTTGACGCCATAACTCGAATTCAGCCATACATTACCTTTGATATTGTGGTATGTTTTGTCTCTCTGATCGTCTTAATTCTCTATTATCTGCCTGTAATTTCACTTAATCATGGATGTAATTACCACTAATCATTACTTTATTGATTATTACTAAATCATATATGATTCACAAAAGACATCGCTACTGCATCAAAAAGCTTGGGAAATGCATTTTGGTAGAGAAGATTCTGTTTCTTGCATATTGAATTTTCATATTTAAAGTCCAAAATCGTTACATTTTTTTCTTGCTATATTATTGAAAATTTTCAGAAAAATACAACTCAGCTTCTTGACAACCTTGTTTTATGCTTTGACAAAGTCAGTGCACTTGACCCATTTCCAGTAGAAAATGTTGGGACGACAAATGAGATCGCTAAAGGTTGGTTTATCTACTTCCAATAAGCTCGAGCAAAAAAGCTTTATAGCTTAATTTTGTCGTTACCCGCTTGTGTTTGTCAGGTCTGTAGAATAAGAGAAATACATGTGAATTTCCTCAAGGATTTAAGCGAACAAAATCCGTCTACATAAGAGTTGTAATAAATTGAGAGTTATTCCAATTTTCGGATTAATGTTTATATTCATTTTATTGCTTTCCATTACTTGTTAAACTGTATAATAGTCTGCACAAAGTAGCATTGATTTAAGGCGAAGCCATTCTTTTGTATATTAAACATGTAAGTGTTTTATTAATTCTTTTGAAAGCAATTATATGGATTGACATAAATGCCCCATTAAAAACATTGATCATATCGACCAGAAATCCAGAAAAATCCTTCAAATAAGAAAAAAAAGCACTTCAAAGATTGTTTCAATTTTAAATCAATGCTCGAGTTCATGAACAAATGAACATCACATTGTGTTTCGAAATGTTATTGACAATTTTTGCAAATAAATAAGTGAATAGTTAGAACTCTAACGCATTTTGATTGCCACATTTTATTATTCATTGGGCTTTTCTCTGTAAATTCGATCGAAGCTTAATTAGAATTTTTATGTAATGTCAAATACATTCCCATTTAAGTATACATGTATCTACTCTATTAAGTTATGCTGAATCTTTTTATTTAAAAAAACATTTTAAAACCATGTCACTTATTTTTAAAATCCATAATAGACACAAAGTCTTACATCTAGAAAATCGAACGTGTAATTTGGTTTCATCAAGCTTCAAAATCACCCATCAATAATTTAAAATTGAATGCTTCCTTTTCCAACTCCTTGCAAATGTATTAGCGCATCCAATTTATTGGCTTTTTGAAGTCTGGTTTACTGATAAAAGAAAGTAATTTTCTCCTTTTTGTCTGTTCTCTCTGAATCTTCTATATATCCACCTACAGTTTTGACTTTTTTATTACTCTGTATTATTTTTATAACAGTATTTATATTCTAAGGCACTGGTTGGCAATTTGACTTAATATGAAACAAAAGTTTATCATAGAGCTTGTATTGTTTTGCTAAATAAAAATGAATTCATTTTACTATATGTTTATTAAAGAAACCTGAGTCACTCAGGTGACCTAATGCACTGTTTTCTACATAGTTTGCTTTTGTGGAAAAATTCGTAAACTTTTGAACATTTTCAGCTTCTTCTCTGCAACCACTGAACCAATTTCAACCAAATTTGGCACAAAGCATCTATGGTGAAGGGGAAAAAAATTATTAATTTCATGATCCCTATATTTAAAGGGGCCTGGTTTGGGCCAAAACCATATATCGAATTTTTGCAATCTTTAAAAATCTTCTATCTTTACTCTTTTCTGGACATCAATTTCAGTCAAACTGTTTAAATGATTGTAATGACATGAAATGATTACATTGAGTCCTTCTACCAAAATTGTGAAATTCATGGCCCTGGGGTCAGGGGCCCTTGTGCAAGGGTGGGGCTAAATAAGTATATAGTGAAAATGCATTGTTTCTTTGAAAATTTTCTTCTCTGCTTCTGGGTATCAAATAAACTAACTAAGTACATAGTTATGATGAGCAAGAGTGCCTCTACCAAAATTGTGAATTTTATGGCCCCAGGGTCAGGGGTTCTGGTGTTAGGGCGGGCTCTATTGATTATATAGTGAAAATACATGAAATCTTTGAAAATCTTCTTATCTGCTCGTAGGTATTAAATAAATTAATTAAGTGCATATTTATAATGAGCAAGAGTGCCTCTACTAAAATTGTGAATTTTATGGCCCCAGGGTCAGGGGTTCTGGTGTTAGGGCGGGGCTCTATTGATTATGTAGTGAAAATGCATTATTTCTTTGAAAATCTTCTTCTCTGCTTCTGGGTATTATATAAACTAACTAAGTACATAGTTATGATGAGCAAGAGTGCCTCTACCAAAATTGTGAATTTTATGGCCCCAGGGTGGGGTTCTGGTGTTAGGGCGGGGCTTTTGATTATATAGTGAAAATGCATATTCTTTGAAAATGTTCTTCTTTTCCTAGGTATTAAATAAACTTACTAAGTACATAGTTATGATGAGCAAGAGTGCCTCTACTAAAATTGTTAATTTTATGGCCCCAGGGTCAGGGGTTCTGGTGTTAGGTTGGGGCTCTATTGATTATATAGTGAAAATACACAAATCCTTTGAAAATCTTCTACTCTGCTCCTAGGTATTAAATAAAGTTACTACGTACATAGATATGATGAGCAAGAGTGCCTGATTAAAATTGTGAATTTTATGGCCCCAGGGTTGGGGATTCTGGTGTTACTGGCCTCAGTGATTATATAGTGAAAATATATGAATTTTTGAAAATGTTCTTCTCTGCTCCAAAGTATTAAATAAACTAAATAAGTACATAGTTATGATGAACAAGAATGCCTCTACCAAAATTGTTAATTTTATGGCCCCAGGAGTGCTTTGTGTTACCTCTATTGATTATATAGTGAAAAAACATTAAATCTTTGAATATTTTCTTCTCTGCTCCTGGGTATTAAGCATATGAACTACCTATATAGTTATGAAAGGGCCCAGGTGAATTGTGAAAAGGCCCCCAGGGTCAGTAGTACCATAAAGGGGTACCTTATTAATTTTGAAAAATAATGAATTGTTTGAAAATTTGCTTTGGTATTAATCAAATACTTCTGAAAAGTTATACAAGGATGCCTATAAAAATTGTGCAATGTGTGGATCTAGGCCTTAGAGTCAAGGGTTCATGTGTGATAGTGGCACTACTGATTATTGCTGAATATTACTGGTTGAAATGCATTTTGTAAGAGATGCCTATGGGTATTAAGTAACCAAACTAAGCAACTGCTAAGTGTATAGTTATGATGATCAAAATTGTAAATGCTATAGCATCTGGCTTAATCCATGGATGAAATTCAATCATTGTAAAGTTCTTGCATAATGCTCAGGTGACCTATAATGCCCATGGGCCTCTTGTTAAATTAATAGTAAGTGCTTCAATGCATGATTCTACGTAGTTTGCTTTTGCGGAAAAATATATGGAAAAAGGAGTCAATTAACCCATAAGAAAAGATAGAAAAGATATTTTTACAAGGAATGGCAGGTAATAGACCCGGGAAATAATAACAACTAAGTAAACTTAAAACTAGAGGTTATATTTAAGGACAAGATTTCCGTATCACATGTACCAAATTTTAGTTTAAATGGAATATGCATGTATATTTAAGCGAATCTTTTCAGTTGATTTATAAATTTCTTTGAACAAACTAATTAAAATGTATTCATTCAACCATGACATGAAATGATTACTAGTATTAAGTATTTCTTGCACCATGACTGTTATGATTTAGAAAAAGGAATGAGCGGTAAATAATTATGGAATCTTATTTATTATGTTTGTTAATGTTTTGCAAAATTTACTTTGATTCATTTATTTTCTTTTAAAGTTATACACAGGATTATAAACCGTCTACTTGACGTCATGCTCCCAGATCATTTACAAGATCACAACACACCCATAGTCAAGGCTGATATCAAAGATATTCTTGTAAGAGATGCTGAGCGCCAGAAACACCAAGAAGCTTTGCTTTGGGCTGTTAACGTTTCCACGCTTATAGACTATATGCATTTTCTATAACAAGGCAAAAATGTTAATGTTTTGTACTCAACACTAATTAAAAACATAAGTCCTATGAAATACGTTTTATTACAATATATATTTAATTCTAGTTTGTCATCTGTTGAATCTGAAGTTTAACGAATAAACTTACATAAAACGAATAAACTTGGACATGTCGCGTCCATGTTCGGTACGTCTGTTAATACATGTACACTCTTGAATAGCTCTCATCAGTATGTTTTAGCAGATGAAGTTTGATAAAAGTGTCATGAAGTGTTTCTTTGAATCTTAGATAATTACAGAGTGTGACGGAAGGATGGAAACTATTAAAGATATTTTTATCATACTCCATATGCATATACTAATGAGTCATGCAACTGCATCTGAATATTTTGACTTCGACCTTTCTTTTGACTCTGACCTCATTTTCTTACATTATTGGTGATTTCACTTATAAAAACCTTAACATATTTTTGTCGAATCTTTTCCTAAACATATTTATCAAATATGTTAAACTGCATCAACTTTTTAGACCCTGACCTATCTTTTGAACTTGACCACACTTGTTTTAAAATAATGCTAGAACTGAGTTTACTTTTAAAGAATGTATTGAAGATATTTCAATCAGTCATGCTTATTAAGATTGCTGAGATCTATTTAACTGCATCAACAATTTTGATCTTAAATTTTTCTTTACCTCAGATTTATATTTTTCTTAATTCTAAACAAAAAAATGTTTTCCCCAACTTCAGAAACCCAGTGTTTTGTAGAAAAATGACGTTAATCGACCCCAAAGATGAAGTTTTAAATTCCAAATCCTTGTTTCACAACTGTAGGACACACCAATTATATTCCAAAGGATAAATTGACTAATTAAAAAACGTTGGAGGAAAATAGGGACACAGGTTTATAAAGCATTTCTCCCAGTTTCCCTCAGTTTTGTTTAATTTAAGAACTAAATTTCCGAAACCTCTAAGAATCATCATTTTCTTAACGATGAGTTGGTTTAACTGCAGAATAACTTAAAAGATTCCAGGAAACCGAAAGATGAGTTGATTATACTTCAAAAAATTAGTAGAACTTCAGGAAATATTTTTTGAGGGTAAAAAGGACGTATTTGAACTTTAATAGCCCCAAGGATGAAAACTAAAATTCCAAAACCTTATACAAATCTGAAGGTCACTCCCAGTCAAACCTCAATAATTAGAAAGTTACTGCAAACAAATGTAAGAGTTGTCCAGGAAAGAGGGTATTTTATAGTATAACGACTTTTTGACATCCATTCGTCTTCAATTATGAAATTGCAATTCTGCTAAATTGTAAATTTAGATTATAAGAAAACATATCTAAGGACATGCAGCATGTTTTTTTTGTAAAATTTGTTAATCTCTGTATAATAAATTCATCAAATGACTGAAAGACCTTATCATGATTATATAATTCCTGCTCAACTGTGCACCTCGAGCTCCTTTAATTTGAATTTATAAGTTGTGTATGTATGTTATTAAACGTCCCTGTGGAGAATGTTTCATTCATATAAAGACGCCACCAGTTGGCGTTGGAGAGCTGCAAATTTTTTCCTATGCTTGGCAATCATGGCCATTGAGCAGGGGTAGGAGGTCTTTTTCGTGCCAGCAGCTACTGCGACACCGGACCTCGGTTTATGCGGTCTCATCCGAAGGACTGGTCTCCACGTCCCACAGTGGGATTCGAATTTCTCAACATGTTTATTTTTTTGTTAATTGTTCTTCGAATAATAGAAGTACATGTTTAATTTTTTGTTAATTGTTAATTTAATTTTGTATTAAAACTTCTGGTAATATATAGCGATTGTTCGTTTAAGAATATCTTATGATACAAAAATTTTAATTTATCAATATAAATGAGAAAATTGCATTGAAGATTTTGTGTACATATGCGTTGGTATGTCTCTTATTTGCTTTTTCGCCCCCTTGTTTATCTAAAGTGATGTGAAAAAATACCAATTAGTGATAAAGTTGATTTTACTTTATTAAAGGCAGGGAATTATTTTCCGATGATGCAACAAATATTGCGACGAATGCAGAATGTTATCCTTAGAACCATTGTTCTTGGTGAGCGGCATATCATGGAAAGAACCGTTGTTTCTGTAATAACGGAAAAGATAACGGTGGACAGCATTGAAAACAGAACTGACGAATACTTTGTAGGAATCCAACCGTCAAACGGAACGTTTGAGCAGCTCACTGACGTTATAGTTGCTATGAAGGTATGTAAGTGTACTTTGAAATGCAAATGTCACATCCGGTAAAAATGACATTGAAATACCTCTGACTTGTTGATTAATCAATATTCTGATGCTTTCTTCTTTTCAGATAAATTATTTCTCTAAGAACCCATTTATCTATGGAAAGAACGCCTCGGCATTAACATCGGGCGTGTCCACTTTTGACATTGGTGATGACATTAAACTTGACGTTAAGCTTGCTAATAACGGCAACTTTAAATACCAGAAGTTTATACCGCTCATAAACCCAGAATATCCGGAGAAGATGATTTTCTTCACTTATGATGTCATAAATGATGATGACGCTGCAATAATTTTCATGAATCCGGACGGCTTTGACATCAATAATCCAGTAAATTTCACTCTGTACACATTTTATGTCAGTAGCGAAACATATCCGACGTCAACGTCGTATGATTTCATCAAAACAGTTGGTATGCGCGACTGGGAAGATATTGGATTCAAAATATTTCTCCAACAAGGTTTATGTGCAAAGGGTACCTGCTATCTTGGAGTAAAACCAGAAACAGGTAAATGTTGCTGCATAAATTATGTACACAAAGTACAGCTCTCAAGATAACAAGTATTGAAGTAAAATATGGTCTGAAACAAAATATTCATTATGATAATAATTACATACATATAATGATGAAAATTCCTCAGATCGTAATAACCACTTGCTTTAATTATGAAAAAAAAACTTTTAAAAAGAATTGAAAAAGATTATTATAAGGACAATACATGTACATATATGGAGTTTGAATTTCTAAAAAAAAAAAACAAACAAACAAACTTACGATCGGTACATAGACTTCTTCAAAACTCCTTTACATAGATGCTACATCTTCACTTTCACCATTTAAAGTAAATAAATAGATTCCTGACCCATCATAGTTTGTTTTCCGAGTAAATGTATCTGTTGCTTCTTTAACAAGGGTGACATTTGAAAATGAAAATCATACTTCAAAACTGTTATCACAATGATTGTTGGAAAGTATTATCACCCATACTGGTTTGTTTGCTAATAATAAATGTAGATCGAAAAAAGAATTGACAAGATACAATTTTTTGAGTTTTTTTTTCATAAAATGTTAATGCAAATTATTTTTAATGCGCGACATGCTAATGAATTTTTTTTAAAAATAATTCTTTTTTCAGATTATGAATAGATAGTTATATGGGTTATGGTAAACTGGTAAAATATTTTGACTTATAGCGTAATAATATTAGAGCTTTATTCAGTTGCCTTTTTAAAATTTCAGTTAAAGAAAACACGACAATTGTATTTATTTTGTTATTTTAGTTCCTGATTACAGTGGGTTTACACCTACCCGGATGAGACGTAAGCGAGAAGCAGAGCTTAATCAAACAACGCCTGCCCCCACTACAGCATCACCGCTGTTTATTCCAGTTCAAGCGAATTTCAGCTTGGTTGTCTTTACCACAGGGTGTAGATCATGGAATGATTCTCAGGGAGCATGGTCCTCCGATGGCTGCACGGTAAGATTTAAAATTAATGGTAAACTTTATATAGCATCCATAGCTGGTAAGCTCATGAGTGCAAATGTGTTATCTGATCATAGTGTTTCTGTCGTATTATACAAACAAACAAACAAACAAAATAAAACGGAAAACTGTCAAACTCTTAGTGTTTTTACATTAAAAATAGTAGATTATTGAACGTGTAACGCCCCTTTTGAGTACATTTAGATCATATAGAGGTGTCACTCTGATTTAGATCTATACTCTGCACTTACAGCCATTGAAAAGTGTTGGTTATTAATCGTAAAAGAAGTTATAGTTTTGTAGTTGAAGAATAGGCAGGATTACTCCTTTAAAGGGATACGAAAACTAAAAACTTTTAACATGTTCACGTATAAAACTAAGTCCTCAAAAAATTAACATTATTTAAAATTTAAAGACACTTTTCATGGAGCATATAGAAGGTCTCAATGGTTAATAGGGAAGCTTTCTTCGCCAAGGCATCTGATCCAACTTCTTTTGCCTTAAATGTTAGTGTTTGGTTCGTTCCAAATTTGTTTTGTTTCAGTTGACATCTGAGCTTCATAACTATTACTTATTACCATGTTTTTGCAGTGAAAATTCTGGGGGGGGGGGGGTTCACCCAGAATGCCAATCATATATTCATGCTCTTTATTTTGAAATTCGAGGATTTTTACATTGTGTATTCTGACACTGTCTATTTAAACACAAAATGTGTCTTCAAGAGCATGATGGCTTAGACAAGTTCAGTGTTTTAGAATTGTTCTGTTGACATGGCAAAATATGATTCTCCAACTTGCGCAGGTTTTTATTTAGACATTTTTTCTTTCAGGTTCTGGAGATGAGTAGTGTTAACGATACAGTCTGCCGCTGTAGTGGAAACACATTTTCGACAACGTTTTATGTTCCACCTAACATGATTGATTTCTTAACCGTGTTCAAAAAATTCGACGCTACAAATGCATACGCGTATGGTCCTGTAATTGGCCTCTTCGTTATCTATGTCATTGCAGCCATTTTCTTGCGCAGGGAAGACGTAAAGGACTTAACGAGAGTTAGTAAATAAAAAAGAATAACATTTTATATTTAAAAGCGATTTGTTCGAATTCTAATTCATTATAATTGCATTAATAGAAATGTAATTACGTGAGTTGTTTTCTCATTAATAAATGACAAAATACACTATTATTCTTTTTTCATGAAAGTGGGCTGCATATTTTTTGGTGGACCACGACGCAGAAGACAAGTATTTCTACCTTCTTACCGTTCAAACAGGAATGCGGAGAGGAGCAGGAACAAAATCCAACGTCAACTTTGTATTGGTGGGAAATGAGGAAGACTCTGATATCAGGGTACTCTCTGATGGAGTGAGAGAGGTAAATTAATATTGTGAATGTCTTTGGATTCTTTTACTCAAAATTTCATGATTTTTTATTTGAAACATGGTAAATTTTTCACAATCTTTAGAATTCCTATTTTAAAAACAGATTAATGGGTTAAGGGAGCTTATTCATTTTAAAAGTGTAGGCCTATTGAGTGAGTGCATTGCACATATTACAACACTGATTTCGTCGGATGTCGTCGATCGTATAATATCAAAGATCTAGATGATGAGGAGGATATTAATATGTCGGCACGGACAGGGTCTGTTTAATTGTAAACTTGGTGAACTTAATAATTATTATCTATTTTAAAATAATATATTATTTGTATAATTTACTTTCTAAAAATTTTTTAATTGATCCTTTTACTTAAATTTTGTTTTACAGGGATTTAGCGTTGCAAGTATCAATAGATATTTTATGGGTACAAAAGAACCTTTAGGGGACTTGAGATATCTTCGAATCTGGCATGATAATTCTGGAGAAGGAACAGATAAAAACTGGTATCTAAATCGAGTAATAGTTGATGATTTACAAGAAAAGGACAGGTAATCCTAACTTGATACGTATTTTCACATGCAAGTAGACTAGTATTGTATTTAGTGATTTGACAAACTGTGATAGGATTATTAAACCTTAATGCATTTATTTATAGTCTTAAGTATATTTTTGTAATTTAGATACGTATTCCTTTGTGAGAAATGGCTGTCTTTGGATGAAGATGACGGAATGATTGAAAGAGTGCTTCCAGTTTCTACGAAAGAGAACTTGAATTCTTTCAAAACATTGATGAATGAGAACTCACAATTAAATGTAACGGATCATCATTTATGGGTGTCCCTTCTCTTGAGACCAAATATAAGTCGCTTTACCAGGGTGCAAAGACTTGCTACTCTAATGACTCTCCTTTTGTTGATTATGATTTCAAATGCAATGTTCTTCAGATCCTCCACTGAAGATGCCTCTTCGCTTCAAGTTGAAATAGGCTTCCTTCGATTTTCACTTTCAACTTTATATGTATCGGTTATTGGTGTAATCATTACAACACCGCCCATCTTGTTTGTAATCATAGCCTTCCGAAAAAGTAAACTTAGGAAAAGGCGAAGAGGGGACTTACCAAAAAATACCGTTTCTGAAAAGCATTCTATATCTGCAAAACACGTGGATTCCAAGAGCAATTATATTCTTCAGGCCCTGAACGAAGACATCATGTTTGCAGACAGTAATTTGTTTTTGCCTTTCTGGACTGTGTATGTTGCTTGGGTTATTCTTGTTTTAGCTGCTGTAGCTAGCTCGTTCTTCTTAATACTGTATTCTATGGAGTGGGGGAAAGAAAAGTCCGAGGAATGGCTAACTTCCTTTCTGCTTTCCTTCCTTGAGTCTTTCTTGTTTATTGACCCTTTAAAGGTATGGAATGATTTTAAAAAGTTGCTTTTAAAGTTGCTTAATATGTCGCTTCATTCAAATAAAACTTATCTGAGGTTTTTTAATTACATTGTATATTTTAAGAATTATGTATCATAGGAATCTTCAAAATCATAATAATTTTCCCATATTTTATATTCTTTTAAACAATTAGGGGTAAATTCTTGACATTTATTAATATATGAAACAATTCTTTAAAAAACAAATCAATTTATCACATGATAAAAAGATGCCTTATGTGGTAATTTTGATTAAGGTTGTCTTTGTGTCCTTGCTGTTTGCTACGATCTTCAAAAGTATGAAGGAAGAAAAACCTCCGTCGATCGACACTGAGGAATTGCGAAAAGCTTCAGTTCATTATAATGGCGATTCAAGACAGAGTTTTCTGGGTATCATTATGCATTTCTTCTTTTTGAACAACTAAACAAAAAAAATCATATTTTAAGTCAATACTTATACTGAATATAATGATACACTTATTGTTATTATAATTTTTCCTGGAAAAGTAGTTTGTTATAATTTTATTCAAGACCGTCAATTAAAATTTGCTGGGGAGCCTGCGTTCTGTTAATTCTAACAATTTAATGCTTTTAAATTTAGAATTATAGAAGTGACTGAAAATTACTTGTTATTCTTTGCTAAACTATATTTCGTTGATTTTTGAATTATATTTACAGCTCTCATAAATGATATTCTGAAGAAAAACGAGCCCCCTTCGGAAGAAGAATTGAAAATATTAAGGCAGAAAAGGCAGGAGGAAAAGAGGGCACGAAGAGCGACATACAATATTCTAATCTATTCCTTGTATATCTTTGTGCTGTACAGCGCCAGTTTCTTGCAGAGAGATCTGCGTTCTTTCAACCTTAAATGGAATCTGGATAATTATTTAATTGCTAACAGTGGCTCCCAACTTGGATTTTCAGCAGTACGTAAAGAGCTTCTAAGATATTGACGGAATCGTATTTTTCTTAGAGGTTTATTAAATTTGCATGAAGACACCAAGGAATTCAATTACAGCACACAAGCTTACAAAATAAGTTGACACAAGCATTTGAAAATATATCCGAACCACGAAATAAAATCCAAAATGCTTATTTTTTCCAAACCCGCTAAAATTTGACTTTCACTTACCGTCACTTAAATTAATGATTTTGGTATATTACCTTTTTTATGTAAGCATGATTTCTTTTAAAAAAATATATGAATAGAAGACAATGAAATTGCATGTGTAACAGTATTTAAAAAATTGAATAAATGGGATCATCATTGTTTGTTTATAGGTAAATGAAACTTTGGATTTTATCGCTTGGATCAACAGAACACTCATACCAACCTTTTATCCGGAAAACGATTATCGAGGACAACCTTTATCAGTTACTGAACAGAAATGGTTCGGGGACAGATCGAGTATTCGGGTTGGTCCTGCTCGTCTGAGACAGCTTCGAGGAAAAAGAGGTAAAACAGAAATAAAGAAGCATTAAAATATTTGCGATTTTGTATTGTCCAATGCGCAAAAAATAATATTCACTTTTATAATTTTTTTTCACAGAGATTTGCAAAGTTTGGAGTATCACTTGGCCAAGGGACTGCGTAGAAAAATACGCAGAGCTGGAGGAAGAAAAGTCGTCATTTTGCATTGGATGGAACACATATAACAAAACAGCATGTAGTGGCAATGTTTACGAGAGCATTCATCTCACTGCAAATGCTTGGAAGTACACAGATGCAAAAGATATTTGGGGGTTTTCCGTTTTAGGAGACTATAACATGTACAGCGGCGGGGGATATATTTTAGAATTTACTAAAAACAGGGAGCAAGCTGTCGCCATGCTGAACGAGCTTCTTAAATATTACTGGATAAACAGGGCTACGAGAGCAATATTTATGGAGTTCACAGTTTACAATCCCAATGCAAATTTATTTGCCTATGCAATGTTTCTTTGTGAGTATCCGGAAACTGGAGGTACATTGATTTGGACAGACACACAATCTTTTAGACCAGTACTTTCATCGGACGAAGTAGGGGCATTTGCTATTTTATGCTACATCGTGATTATTGCATACCTAATCGGTTATCTTATTCATATTATTGTGAAAAGTGCCACAAAGGGTTGCTGTAAATTCTTCAAAGTTCCCTGGAACATAGTGGATTCTCTCATAACCTTGTTAGGATTTGCTTGTATTGCAATTTACATTGTTCGCTATATAGACGCCAAGAAGGCTATGCAAATGTACTCGGATGATATTTTGAGTGGAACAAACCGCTTTATAAACTTTGGACACATTGTATTTTGGGATAACCTATTCAACGCTCTGTTTTCTACAATGGTCTTCATATCCACTATAAAGGTTTTGCGCATACTTGGATACAACCGGAAATTCACAGAAATTATTTCTGTTGTTACAAATGCAGCAGAAGAGATCGCTGGATTTAGTATTGTGTTTATTGTTATGTTTTCCTCTTTCGTATTGTTCGGATATTTCTTGTTTGGTGTTCACCTTCAAGGGTATAAAAGTGTTTTTGCGACGTGTAGTACCCTTGCAAATACTTTTATTGGTAAAAACAAACTCGATACCCTGATGGTTGCCGCTCCTAAGACTGCTCAGTTTTACTACTTTACCTACATGGTGTGTGTTATCATGACATTACTTACTATGTTTGCTGCTATTTTAAACAAAAGCATTGCAGATGTCAAAGCAGAAACTGCCCAATATGTTGACACAATTGGCATTACAGATATTTTTTGGAAATCGGCAAAGAATTTTCTCGGCATGTTTTTCAAGTTTGGCTCTAAGTCCAATATCTCAGAAAGCAAAGAAGGAAAAGGTTAGAGTTAATTAGACATTGTAAATTTTTACATTTTTAGAAATTTTCACTTAATATCCATCTTTTTATGTATCATATTAATGTCTCTCTTTAGAAAACCTTAAGAAGTTGAATGCCATGCGAAACGGAAGCGTGGACGTGTCAAACGTATTGGCTTTAATAAGACATACATTCAACGATTTCAGCGAAATACAGGTAAAAATCGAATTTCAAGTTGTCTTTGATAAAAAAAACTTTTGTGCAATTCTAAACTGGTTGTACGATTTAGAAAAGAAATTATTGTATTGTGAATTTATGCAAGTTTTAATATTGGCTTTGAATTAATGCAAGTTTAAGTATTGGCTTTTTGTTATCTTTGTTTTAGGAAAAAAAGAGTTTTGTCGTAATGGAAAACTCAAAAAAACCTCATCATAGTTCCGACCATATGAAATATGGAGAGATGCATGAGTTGGATCAATCTTGGTGTGAAAGAGATTCCCAAGAAGCTGATATCCAAAGAAACTTTAATGAGAGCAAGATGCAAATGTATCTCTAATTGTTTGAACCTATTTGCGAGAGTAAAGGAAGGCCAAATAGTTCCCAGTTATAGTCCATAAATCCTGAAAAAAAAAGATGTAAATTGTTTAATGAGAAATTGCTGTTGGTTTTAACTGTTCAAGTTTGTGCAAGCACAAAAGTTTTGCGACACAGGATGAATTATCCAACGGTTATGTAATTACGATAAAGTATTTTTAAGTATACTTGTTTGTTAATGTATTCGTAGTTTTCAAGAATTCAGCCCAAGTTGGTTATACAATATAAAGAATTGTTACAAAAATAAGGATTCTACGCAACTGTTTCATGAACCATGATGGTTTAATTAAAAGCTTATATTTATTGTAATTTAATGGGTGTGAAATCGTGTGGCAAGGTTTTAATATTCTCAAAACCTTGTAATATTATATGCTTTGTTAATCAATTTGTTGCAAGAAATATTATATATTTTATAATTGACAGTATTTTATTTTCTTCTTCATTATTCAATATTTCATTCTAGAAGTACATTTGAAGCAACAATGTACATGCAGACCTGGGATATTAAAAATGTTTTATGCATGTTATTATGAAATAAATATTCTCTTCGAACTTACTTTGAAAATTATATGTTCCAACATAGAACTTCCAAACTATCACAGACTCAGCAGCGATATTCCTCCGAATTGGCCATTCAGCTTTTGAATAATTTTTTAAAGAACATTCGATTTATTTTAAGAAATAAAATGAAATTCACTAGCTTTTTAGTTGAGGTTGACATTTCTTTCTTTTCCTCATGCTGATTTTTTAAAGTTAAATAATGTTTTTATTATTATTGGTGAGAAAATCATGTACAACACCGGGTAATACACAATCATATGTTATTCATATTAACACAGCATTAAATTTGTATTATACAGTGTAAATTGTATAAATATGTAGATTAAAATTTGATAGAGTCTGGGATAGTTTGTGAAACTGATCTTTTTCTGTTGTCATTCTTCTTCACACAACAATATCAAAGCATTATTTACTAAATTGATGCATACAATTTTAAGTTATCAATATACATCAATAAGAAAATCATCAAATTGTTATAATCAACTACAAAAAACACGAAACAATTTTTTGTAACAATTTATTAAAACAATAATATCAGATCTTAGCACAACAATTTCACTGTAAACAACGTCATACCATACACACTAATATGAAACCTTGAGGTGTAGACGGTAAAAATCTATTGGACTAATCTTTAATGCAAGCAGTGAAATGAAAATTTGTTCTTATGTGAGTAAAGAATGGAAGAGCACCAAAGTCACTACTGCATGTAAAGTATATTCACCATTTTTAGCATTTATTAACGTAAATGAATTAAACATTGATTAATTTCAGAAATGAATATACTAAGTATTATGGAATGTAATAATCATTCAGTCACGTTCATTTACTTTTTTTTATCATGTTTCATCTGATATTTTAAAATAAAAAAGATATTCCAAGCCCATCTACCTATAAATGTGTATGGAATCATCTACGATATACTAATTTTCCTACATCCACTAAACCTTATTCATAATACATAATACACTCTTAAAACTATAAATAATTCTAACATTACATTCAATGAAAAATAAGACCACTGTAAAACTAATAACAAATAAAATATATATGGATTTCAAAACAGGCCACATTTTTGAGATATCGTGTAAATAATTATTCCTTTGGAAATATCCAACGAACAAATAAACAAAAACAGGTTATAAAAAGATACAGGATATAAAGAATTGAGACAATTCATTTGACTTTAATTTATAGAGTAGACAAGTGGATTTAGAACAGTGTCTAAAGCAGAGAGTTTTAAATATACGTGTGGTTTTTTATTATTCTCTAATAATAGATTCACATGAAAACAAAGTTATTATGAGCACAAAGACTGTCATCACCTTCTAACGGTTGAAATCTGTGAGAGCGCACTTTCTTTATAAATGGACTCTTCCGAGGCATTTTTGAATGTGTGATAATTTTTTATGTAATTAAAATATATAAATTACAAATCTGAACCTAGATATATGAAAAATGTTTCTATATATGCCAGTCCTTGCTGATAGGCATATAGATAATTCTTTCAATTTTTTAATTCATATTTTTAATCACTATCTACTGTGGGTGAATATGCAGATTCATAAATTGCCTGTTGTAAAACAGATATCAATAAGAAGTGACCCATATCTCAGAAGACAACACATACTGAACCACTTCTTACCAATAGTTGTCATGATCAATGTATTCAAAATGAATATGCTTTCAAAATGAATTAGGTCTATTGATTTTTTTAAACAAAAAAAGGTGAAAAAAGCGAACATTGGATTGCTTTTGAAAATAACATTGAAAAACAAAAATACGGAACAAAAATATACTATAGTATTTCCTGATTGAGCAGATTTAAAGAAAATTCTAAGGAATATTTTTTCTCTAAATCTTTGATAAATAACAGAATCTTGGATTTCAACAGAACAACCACAGAAACGACGGCAGCACTTGGATTAAATCATTGATAATTGATTAAAAATGCCTATCCTATTGCACATAAAATATGGTTAGCTACTGCAACAACCTATGCTTTGTTTTTCTTGGTTTACGTAGTCCGTTACACTGAATTTAGGATCAGTAGGTTTTCTTGTTTTCTTCATCTTTAAATCCCTGAAAGAAGGACATTTATATAATAAAAATGTAAAAATCGACAAGGACATCATTAAAGTTGTTTTGCATGATGTCAGATCTGGAAAACATCAAATAATAACAAATAAACAAATAAGAACAAGGACCACATCACAGAAAAAGTTCTCTTTGATTAAAAATAATGATTCTCTTTCATCAGTACTTCTCTAATCAATTTAAAAAAAGTATATTTTCTACAGCATTGTAGTTGCACAGTATAAAAGCTAAACAAAAACTGAACTATTCCATAGAAATTCAGTATCTCTGTTTAAGTTTGTCTTATCTGGTGATTGTTAAATTGTCTTTAAATAACGCTGAGCATTTTACTTACTTTGCAACTGCCATAAATGCTAAATCTACATTCATTCCTGTCTTGGCACTTGTTTCCATAAAGGCAACATTATATTCCTAGGGGAAAAAAATTTTATAAATAACTACAAATAGGTAATTACGCTACCATATGAGGCCTAATTTCTTAATTTGCATATCATTTCTGAAATGTCCTTAATAACTATTAGAACATAACGTGAGATATAACTCACATTAGCTAATCGCTCCCCGTCCTCCGTTCTTATAACCCGTTCAGCTGTCATATCGGCTTTGTTACCCAGCAGCATGATAACGACATCTTCCTGAGCATACTCATTTATTTCACCCAGCCACGCCTACATATTATACAATACATAAACTCTTTTTTCTCAATCAATAAAACAATTGTCATGCAACATCAAAGACAAATATATAATAGATATAGAATGAGTGTAAATTGTAATAAAATTTGAATCATAAGAATATTGATTTTCTTTTGAAATTGGAAGTGTACTTACTCGTATGTTGTCAAAACTTGCTTTATTGGATACATCATAAAGAAGAAGTAATGCTGAAAATAAATCAAAAACCATTTAATGGTGGAAATGCCTCAAATTATTTATTGGTTGTCACTTTAAATTTTGCATTAAATTTACACAAGTTACAAAAATACGTTAAAAGTCCTGAACGATTATTTTTTTATTATAGCTCAAGTACAATGTATTTTCTATCTTAATTTTTAAATCGCCGTGGAATCGCAGGAAAACTGCACAAATTTCTGTAAAATTTTCACAATATGAAGATGACACAGTGTCCCTACGGCGACGGACGCGATTCTACGGCGATCTCACGGCGTTCTCCTGCGTTCCCACTGAGATCTCTCGGCGATTGACTGCGCTTCCGCGGAGTTTTCACGGCGCGTTAGGAGTTTTCACCTCGTGTTCACGGCGTTCTCATTGCGCTGGCTGCGTTCACAATACGTTCACAATGCGTGCTATACTCAATTGACATATATTCAGTAGGAATGTAAAACACTTTTGTTTGAAGATTCAACTACACGATGAAAAGACTTCTAATCATGCCAAGAAATATTTTTATTAGTTAAAAATATTCTATTTCAATAATTTAGTACTAATTAAACTATTGAGTTTTATGATTAAACTCCTTTTTTCAATTTTTTCGGTTCAGATGTGTTGTTAGATTTTCTTTGATTTTATTACGAATGTAAAAAAAAAATAAACACACTGAAAAATTTTCTACAAAATTTAAGTGAAACAACAGAACAAGTTCTGGTGTTATTTTCGCTTTCATTTTTTTTCTCGCTTAAATGCTCCGAGTGCAACAAATACGTTGGAATTATTGCTGACCAAATATGATCCCATAGCTCTTGTTTTGTGAGCTGGCTGTCAACGCTCTAACAACGCCGTGAACGCGCATTGTGATCGCCATGGACGCTGAAGAAACGCCATGGGAGCGCAATGATTGCAGTGACAACTCCGTGCTGTCGCCGTGTAATCACAGTCAAAAAAATCACGAGACGATAAATCTCATTAAAAGCGCCGTAAAAACGCGATAGAAACGCAGTGACATCTCCTCGGACTCCGCGACATCTCCTTGAGGTCTCCGTGGAGGCGCAGTCTACTATCACTGCGTTCGTGTCGCGATCATGTGCGTCTTCACGGCGTTCGTACGGAGCTCCCACTGCGTTGTTGGAGATCTCACTGCGCTGCTACGGTGATCATACTGCGTTTCTACGGCGTTCTTATCAGACCGCGATCACACGACGCGTACTTTGTGCATGCCCAAAGTGATCGCCGTCCCCTGGCATTCTAGGAGACCCTACGCGACCCTACGGCGTTCAGTGGAGATCTCACCGCGTTGTCACGGCGCTATAGGAGACTCCACTGCGATCACCTCGGCGTTTTGCATTTTTCGAGGACGCCGTGCAGTCGCTGTGAGGACGCAGCCCCGGTGTGACAGGGGTTTTAAACATTCATAATATGTACATGTAAAGTTTCTTACGATGAAAAAATGCAAATAAACAATAATGGAAACATAAGCACATTTAGCTAAAATTGTGTCTTTAACAATCATAATGCTTTAAAATGGTTTCCTAAATTTTTTAATATCTGTGTGTTGGGAATTTGCTCCATTTTATATTTTCTTTTAAATCATATCCAAACTATCTCCCACAAAATTGGAATCTTAGTAATGTCTTTGCTTTAAAATATTCTACGTCTTGTTTTCACTGTAAAACTGCACTTACGCCATGTAAAATCACCAGTTATGAAAAGGGGATCAAAAGAATTTCTAAATTGTTGAAAAGTGCGTCGTATTTTATTAAAATGTATCTCAGTCTAAGGCTGTTTAAAATTAAAACTACGTTTAACGTCACCCGCGCGCGTAGGTTTATGAGAAATTCGTCTTTGAAAAAAACAAACAATTCGGAATTCCGTATGTCTGTTCCGGTTTGGTTCTACAATTAGCGACTGAATTCTGCTTCCCGTAGTGACAGAAAATGTGCTTTGATAAAGGCAGTTCGTTTATTATTAAATAAAACTAGTGAATTAAAGAGTTTGGGACCATAAATGTAAGTAAAAAATAGATGATTTTATGATTGAAGTTAATGACAAAGTCTAGTTTGTTGATTTTTTTTTGTCAGTCTTCGAATCACATGTTCAAACTGACAATGACAGACTCTCAGTTCGTGATTTTAATGGCTGAACTTTTCATTGTTTTTTGGAGAGAATCGAAAAACTTTTTTACTGAATGGAAAGTGTGTCAAAAACCAAGATTTATATACAGTGAAAGCATCATTCAAATCTAATCTAACATGTTTCATATTAAAAATATTTCTGTAAAAATCGAAAAGAACAGTAATGAGTAAAGTAAATGATTTCTTCATAATTCATGTATCTACAAATAGCTACAATTTTTGGAAAAAATAATACTTGTCATAACCATTTGAGCAGGGAGAAGCTTACTGAAGATAGGGCCTTTCAAGTGAAGGAGAGTAAGGAAAGAAGTTGGGGTATTCCAAGACGTGAAGAATCCTGTCTTTAGTGTGGAATTCAAGGTATTAAAGATAATCTAACAGCTTTCAGTATGGTCCAGATATAAGTATTCACACTTTCAAAACTTAATGCTAGTAGATCTAGTACTAAGAAAAAATACGACATAGTTCAATTTGAGATATTTCAACAGGAACAGTTTTAAATATTGTCATCAATAATTTTAATTGTAGATATTGATCAACTATTCCCACAAGAAGCATTTACCTCCAGAGTACCATGGACGTGTGGCAATATAAATCCAAAGGACAACTGAGGCCTAGATAAAAGCCACTTTCCTGCACATTCAGTCTTAGACTACATTGTTTGCTAACAATATAGGACTCAAAGTGATTTACATACTAAGGAAAAACTCTGCTAGGGAAATTAATCTTAGGTGTCATATCAATTAAATGCTCTTATTACTTCATTGTAATGTTTTTAATGTAATGAATAGGTTAATTTGAATAAATTCACAATTGTTTGAAAATTTTGTTTGTTTATTTTTTTCCTCCCTCCCTCGTAGGTTTTGAACTTTAGATGTGACGTTAAACGTAGAATTAATTTTAAACAGCCTAATGTATATTCTCATAACAATTGCTACCAAAAATGGTATGTACATTGAAAAATAAATTAAATATTGCAATAAAAATTCGTTTTTATATGCAAGAGTCTATAAAATATACAAAATGTACGTTCAAAATGCAAAAGATTTAAAAAGTAAAAGAGAAAATACATCCTTTACACCTTGTAGAGATGATCATTTTTTTTACTACCAAATAGGTAGAAAATAATAAAAACTCCTAGATTGGAAAAAAAAAACGTTTTACAGCAGCTTACAACACAACAAACAGAATATTTAAGCGTTCTTCATAAAAATATTTAATGCTTTTTTTTAAAAACTTGTGTGTTCTTTAATATGCTTAATGTTAATATAGGTTCATAAATATAGGTAAAAATATAAAGTTTCTTTGGCGCAATTTGTCTCGTAGAACCGATTTGTTAAGTTTCTGATGATTGTGATTCAATATTGTTTACATACAATCCTCTCAAAGAGTATGCTTTTTTGTCAAACTGTCCAAAATTTCAATATATATTATCTATTTTATCATCTCCTCGAAACGGAGTTGAAGGGGATATAACGCGCTAGGGTGTGATTGTGTGTGAATGTTGGTTTTTCCCTCTGCGAAACTTGAAGTAAATTGCATCAAGATCGATGACGAACGCTGTCCTCCTTTGTACATAATTAAAAATCAAATTTTATGCTCTTTTCAAAGGGAAGCCCCGCTTTGCGGTTGCCCTTGTTTGTGAGCACTGAAAGCAAAAACAAATTCATTCTTTCCATAGAAATTCTATTTATACCCTTTTCTTTTATAGCGTTTACTAAATGAGTGAAATGGTTGAAAGTGGTAAGAAGAAGTCCTTGACAGTGTAACTTTTATTCAAAGCTAATTCACTCTGAATTAGCTGCTTTTATCGAAGAAAGTGCATAATTGCTTTACCTAAATCTCATTACTTATTTCTGGTGATTATTGTTCTTGTCAAATATTTAGTTGATTATTCCCCCTTTTAATAAAAACACCTGAGGGCGCTTTGGTTGCAACTTCCTTTTTCAATATTCCAGCATCATCTTGGGTCGGTAAAAATTTTCCAGCTTGTTATTGTGTATTATGAATTTGAAACACCCACCCACCTCACCCATTAAGAACAGATACTGCTTTTTCTGGTTCTTTTTAATGCTTTCAGACAAAGACTTTTGGTGAATATCAAGCTCAACATGACAGGACTTGCGAGATGAAACCAGGACCTTAGGGAACAGCCAAGGGGATTGAACCACAAGTATCTCTATGGACTCAGCATTCTGGACTTTGAAGACATTTAATGTGAAAGTGATGTGAGGAACAACCATTTATTTGGAAGTGATTCATTCCAAGAGCAAGTCATGCACCATTTCCAGAAGCCGATAACTTTCCTCTAACCACAAACATTAAACAATAATGTGGATTAATAGAATCTGGTACGGCTGTCCGTTTCTTTCAAGCTGAAATGTGCGTAAACGAGCGGCACTAAGTAACTATCCTTATATGCAGTCATGTAACTCATGAAAGTTGAAAAGTAAACTTTGGATTTAGATATACATAAATAAGTGCTTGACCTCTGCACCTCCCAGGGTCAAGGCTTTTACCACTTTCTCATATGGTGTTTGTGAACTTTGACCTTTGAACTTTGAACCTGAGTTTGAATATTTAATATGTAATATTTGCTTTGTTGTGTTGCCAGAGACACCAATAGCTTTTCATAATTTGTGTCTCTGGATAAACAGCCGTGCCCAATTATCGCCACAATAAAATTTATTAAATTCATACTTGATGTTTTTATATGCACTTATCTGAGATAATTCTATATGCATGATTTTTGCTTAGTCTCTTCACAGTGGTCACCCGAAACAAAACACCTGCTTGACTGAAAATTTACATGTACGCCGTGAATGATTCTTACAATTCCTGCAGATTTGACTTTATTACGTTATGTATATACATGTAACTAAAATAATAATACGAAGACAACTTTTTTTTTACAGAATTCTTTGAACAACAATATTCGCCACGACATGCAACATCAATAAGAAGTAATCAAAATGGGTGTTACATCATTTGACCACTTCTATGATGCGTTACAACACCTTATAAGTACCATGAGCGTCCCTGTAATACGCATGCGTAACGCTTCGAAACCTTTCTTGACCAGCCGTGTCCCAAATCTGGAATAACATTTTTATTTCATGTAATATCAACGTCCCTCAAATTGTACAAGGTCATTCAAGTATCACTTTGATAACCAAGGGAAATTATTAGGTCTTAATTAATTTTCCATCAATGAATGCCAAATGACACACAGATTCTATATAACTCCTTAAATTTCATTTGAAAAGACCTTAAAAGAAATTACTAAAGGCATCGCGAGGCTGAATCTAGAACATATTACATATGCTCTACTGCAATTTGATTTCCTGGGAAATTATCTTTATGGAAATCTTGATAAAGACCTTTTTTCTGCCTTGGATCAAACTTCATGAATGAACTTGAACTTCTAATGTTGTTCTGACGTAACCTACCATTAGCATCTCTATAATATGCACGCGTTATACTTCGGAACCTCTCTTGGCCAGCAGTGTCCCAAATCTGCAACAAACTCATATTCAACAAACACATTTCTTTTCTTGAAAGAAGAGAAGACACGCTAGTAGTTTAATGCCATGCGTCCACTTAGAACAGAATTAATGACCATTGGTTTAGTTTCTTTTCGAGACAAGTTTTATTCTATGACTTCATGTGTAATTATAGAAGAGAAGCAGTTTAAAAGAATTCCACAGAAATTTCTATTTCTAATAACCATTGAAACACCATTACTTTAATTTAAAAAAAAACAGAATTACGATTCTTGTTATTTTTTGCGTAGAAAGATTCACTGAAATCAAAATAAAACTCTTGTTATTTTTTGCGTAGAAAGATTCACTGAAATCAAAATAAAACTATACAGGAGAGGTAGTACTTTTGAAAGTATTTTACAGAAAATTATACTTTTAGTAGCCAAGGAAACATACCATTCATCCAAATCAATAATGTATCTAATTGTGTATAGTTATATGTATAAAATCAGATCAAAACTGTACGAATACTATTTTGAAAAATCGATTATAGACATGCTGACTTCATACTACTGTTTATTAATAAAAAAAGTTTATTTCGTTACAATTGTAGAGTAGGGAATTCTAAAATAACTGACCTGTAACTTAACCTTTGTCCCATCAACATCGACCACTTTATTCTGTAAAATTAAAAAAAAAAGTTTATCAACAGTAGTTAATTATTATCCCATTTCCTTTTAAACACTACTTCTGATAAATTTTGCTCGCCTGAGCAAAAAGTCAGTTTGTTCAATGAAAGGCAAAGTTCTAATTGATGGGAAGATTATAAAGAAAAAATATCAAACTAATACAATGAGGCCATTTAAAAAATCTTGAAGAAATGCAGTCACTGGGTATGTCCTCTGGGGTCGGGTGGGCCACAAGAAGGAGAATAATTAAAGATAAACAAAGGATTAGGTGGCTAGGGAAAATCTTTTAAAATATTGTTCTTAATAAAAGAAAAATTCGGTCCACTAGTTTTTAATGTGTAAGAAAAGCATTGAAGGTTTATCAATTCATTAGATTTTAGTTTAGGGGGTCTATAAAATTTCGTGAAGGATAAAATGATGAATATGCTACGAAATCGATGAAGGCTTGCAACTACCTGCCATGTTGAATTTTGACTGGGACCTTATAAATATTACTCCCCCTGTTACTAGGCATTAGAACCACAAAAAAAAGATCAATGTTTGAAAGAGGAATATAATGAATTCCTTAGGAAAAACAAAAAATTGAGGTGTTCCTGATGGTCTTAAAAAAAACTGGTCACATTTGACATTCTTGCTTTTGACAAATATCATAATACATGAAACTGGGTGACATTGGCAAACATTCTACATGTACTTGTAGTGTATTGTGAAGAAAACAATATTATAATAAATAAATAAATTTAAATGCAAACTGCTGTTGCTACTTTCAAATATAGAAGTTGTAAATTGTATGCTGCAAAACTATAGCTTGGTGGTTCTGAAAATACGGACAGGCAAACCCAATATTTATCTGTCCAAATTAATTTGCTCACCAGAGAGCTACAGTCCTACAACTATTGGATGGCTTCAAATAATTTAAGTCATAAACTAATGAGATAAATAAGTCTTTTTATAACATCTCTTTCACTCCAAAATATTAGTTAATCCAAGACATTATTTCAATTGTAAAGAAGATTTTAAGCTCAAAATATTTTGCTGTAGCTAATAATCTATGACTCTGCTACATAATCTCTCTCTCTCTACCTTTGCAATTATTTTGCAACCTTATACTGATAACTATGCTATTCATCACCATAAATTCTCTTTTCTTGTTAAAAACTTTTACATGTAAATTTGCATATAATTACAAATATAAATTTTCTTTGTTTGATTTAAAAATCTAAAAAATGTATAAACTAGTGCAAGCTAATACACATAATAATAGGAAAGACAAACTGAAATGACCGAGATTTAAGACAAAATCGCCCTTACAAGTGAAGACAAATACTACAATACAAATGAGTTATACAATATATAAAACAAATCATAAATAATACAAATGTTCAAATCAATTTTTTATAGCTTCTTCAAAACATAAGATCCTGAAATACACAGTGTAAATGTGTATCAATTTTCACTGAAATCAACTTTACTTTTTAAAATATAGAAGTTCAGCTATTTTTTTTATAAATATAGATAGCTCATCTATTCAAGGGTTTGAACTAGCACACAGCCAGTGGATAAGTGTTTTATTATACAGTATATTATATTTGATATATAATACTCATTTCATGTGTATATTATATACACAAATAATGAATATAATTTGGAAAGATTTGAATTGACTCATCAATAAGCACATTTAAAAAACACATTATTATACTTCTGTTAAAATGTTTCCTATATAAAGTTCAAAACATTCCCTCCCCCCCATGGCTATAAGTAACACCTGATTTTTGGAATTTTAATTTCCAGCATCAGCCTGATGATGTCATAATGACTTATGTATTGACAAGGATTTCAGAATTATTATCTAACACCAAAGAAGTCAAACCTGAAATTATATATATACATGGCTGTGATGGTGCACAGTTCACTATCATTGGATAAGTGTATATTATACCCATTTCATGTGTATTTTATATACATGGATGATGAATATAATTTGGAAAGAGTTGAATTCAACTTAACAATAAACATACAGTGTATTTAAAAAACACTTTACCCTCTGAATGATGAAATCATTCCCTCCTAATTAAGTAATGATGGAATTTTGCATCAGTGAACATTGCTTGATGACAAGTGAATTATTTTAAAGAAGTTGACTGTTCATGTATATAGTTCACCATTTTATGTATTTGTGTAAAACATTTAGTATGTACTATTTAAATAATGCATGTAGTTGAAAATTACACTGAAAATTTTCACCCACACCCTTGAAAATCATTCTCAACCACAGCTGTGCCTAAGTTGAAAATGCAAGGCCTTTTCAATGTTACTCTCAACTCAAGTAATATTTACATATAGTGTATACTGAGACATAAATAATGACAGTTGATCAGAATATTACTACGTTGATCAAAAATATCACAAATTCCTCACTTTATTCACCGATAAATCTCAAAGAAAAAATTTTTTTACTCCATATAATACTACAGGATGCACTGTGCTGAAAAATACTGATGCCCGATTTACAGTGAAAGACATTGCTAAGACACTACAAATTGGAAAAGTTGATTGGTTTCTGACATAGAAAATGAATCTGAAGAAAATAATTTTCTACCAGATAGTGCCAAGACCAACTGCTTACGAATGCCAAAAAGAAAACTTGCATTCAAATTTTCATTGAAGATGACTTCATATTTGAATATTTTGACAAACAGAAGTACATTTACACTGTATGAAAACTCTTAATGGGTCACTTTTCAAACACATGTCAAGGTAAATTTTACACTTTGATTAAGTCAATAGTAGAGTTTATACCCAACATGGCAACAGCAAAACCAAATCATTGGCAGAAAGAAAGATACATGTATAGATGGACACTGTTGAACATAAATAATTCACTGGCATTAGTTTATGGAATTAGCTGTGTAATCCAGCCAAAATTAAGCAAAAGAAGAATCAAAATACATAGCATAATGCCCTATATAAATATTACATTTTCAGAGAGCATCATGATTAATTTCTGATTCAAGTTCAACATTTACAATATGTAAAAGTTTTTCCAATGGTGACTTGTGCAATTAAGTATTATCAGATTTTCAAAGTGTAAACTACATTCATCTCAAAAAATTTAACTCGAGAGCATTAGTCTAAAGTCTTTTTTTTCATTGAAATTTTTTTTTATCATAACTATAACAACGCTTTTCTTAAAATTAGTTCTGCATACATGATTTTCTAATTTTTTGAAATATGCCAATTATTTCTCTACTTTGATTTTACTTTCTTGATCTATATTGCTACATATACTTTCAATTAAACATTTATACAAGTCATATTGAATAATGTACATATATTTATAACTATATATAGTTATATATAGTATATATAACTAAATTTACCCAAGTTTAAGTCAATGAAATTAATAAAGATTGACTTGATTTAAAACAGAAAATACTTTACATGTATATATATATAAAATATTAATAAAAATTAAAATTAAAAAGATAAAAATAAAAATTTTATATCATCCATATAAAGTCAATCCACTTAAAACTTTTGTCTCCAACTGTACTTTCTTCAAGTACTAGAAAACATGTACAAGTGTCAACATTGAATATCAAATGACAACATTTACAATGAGGTAACAGCATACAAACTGGCCAATAATACCACATGGTCTCCTCACACATAAATGCAATTTTTATACTACACACTAAAAATTTATCTGATAACATGAGCAATAAAGTTTTATTTGCAGGGCTATAGGTCTTACTTTGTACATTTCATCTGCTCCACTTAATATCAGTTAGGTCTTTGACTCACCCTAAAATCTATACCAACTGTAGAGATAAAACTACCAGATAGAAAGGCCCCATCCTTGAAGCGGACCAATAGGCAGGTCTTCCCCACTCCACTGTCACCAATTAACATCACCTAGACAAACAAATGTATAATGGCCAGGCATTCAGAACTCCTCGATTTCATTTAATTAAATTGTAGTACATTAAACATTTTCAATATAGGGATTTTAAGCATGTTAAGTCAAAAGTTGGAGTTTACAACAGCAAGATAAAATTCCCTTGTAGGAAATAGGAATTAATAACTCCAATATGAAATTTTAGTAAAGGCATTAAAAAATTATTCACACACAGTCATCATATTCAAAACAATTAAAATCCTGCTTGTTTAAGAAATTATAAATATCACTGTTTGTTGTCAAAGACTGACTAGAACACAACAGATCAAATTGAAACTGATATATTAAAGTGTATATGCCTCATTCATAGTTACAAGCTCCTAGTTAGTCTCATGGCTTACTTCTACGAAGGGGAAATTAACTTCTACACTGTACCACATACTTCATGTATAATGCGTTAATTACTAATCACCATGGAAACTGCATGATCACTGGGATCAATTGGATAATGTTCTGAATATGTTTGGTCAGTGTATACAAAGTAAAACATCCATGTAAATATCCACACAATTCTTTTTACTTTCTTATTTTAATTTAGTAATTTCATGATTTTTAATTTTTTTCTTTTTAATTTGTTATTTCTTACTTAAAATAAACTATAAAAAAGCCAATAAGGAAGAGCAAACATCTCTATATTCATAAATATAATTTAATTCATTTTAAAACAGTACAGCAAATTGATTGCTATATCTATAAAAATGTATTGTCTTTTGTTTATATACCTGTTACTACTGTAATGAAATAAAGCACTGTGAACAGAGAGGAGATTTAAAACAGGAGATAAGAAAATTCAGCAGATCAGACCCGGATTCAAACCCAAGCCCCCTGAATCTTCAGTCAGGTGCTGACTGTGCTCTGCCTACTAGGCTATCTGCCCACTGGCTATAAAACCTGCCTGACCACCACATTCCTCCCTCCTTAAAGATCTTTGGCCTTAAAGACCCCAACCCAGGCTCATCCTGGTGGGCCTCTCACCTGTCAATTCCAGGGCATGGCATAGCTCCAAATGTAACAGAAGAGGAGAAAAAAG